GTTGAGGAAAATGTATGTTTGAGGCTTTACTGAGTTGGACAAACTTCTCTCTTCAATGAGAGCCCAACACTTCCCTAGTGTTTCCCCAGATCAAGTATGAAGACATTACGCATCTCTAGTCAGAACAGGCCTTGCACAAACGTTTTCCCCCAGCACTTTTTCTGGCTGGCGCCCGCATTGTCTTACAAATTGGACTTTGGAACATGTGTGCATTCCTATCAAAGTAAGTGGCTTATTTTCTGTATATCGTGTTGTCGTTTCTGCTGTAGCACACCGTATGAATGTATGGATCATAATGTATTTACTGTTTTATTCACATGTTTTCAAGTACTGGTGACAAATCATGCAATCCGTTTCTTGCATAGATTGTAATGGACACAAATGATGTGTGTAAAATACTTTTTTGAATGTTGCACTGATTATGATGAGCTAATGCTAATCTATTTGCCGGCCATGTGTGGCGCCATGTTTGTTGACATTATACAATGCATTCTGGTTGTCACGTAAGCGTCTGTCAGAGCAAATATGTTATAACAAGGGATAGATCACCAGACAGACTTATGGTGCTTTCAAGACAACTGTCTTACTAGGTAAAATCAGGACGTCAATGATCTTCAGGTCGGAAAGTCGGAGCTCTAGAAAGAGGCCAGAGTTCCCGAGTTGGAATTCCGAGTTGGATGACCGTTTTAAAAAAAAATGTCCCAGTCGGAGCTCGTTTTTCCCCGAGTTGTCAGTTGTCTTGAACGCACTGAAGTCGGAATTCTGAGATTTCCGAGTTCCCAGTTATTTTGAATGCGGCATCAGATTGTAACTTTGGTACCTCAGGTTTGCCAGCTCAGACCCCCCTTTCCAGAGGTTTTATTTTTATTTAGTGTATACACTTCTCTTCTGTTTGCCCCCCATTTATTGATAAATCCCCAATCATAGTAATAGTTCCTGCATCATATCCCCCTACGATACCTTCCCCCATTTCTACCCCCCATGGACTTGAAAACCCCCCACAAACCCCTCTAAAATGGTTTCATCCCTGTTTAGCTTTCGCGTTATGGATAGGCAGTAGGCTTGTATTTAGTGTGATGATCTGTGAGGTGAAAACATTTTATTTGCTTTGTGATTTGTCAAGAACGGTTAACGACTTGTCAAGTCATGTGCTCCGGTTCTAGTATACACTGTAACAAGTACATCAACGATTTGTAATATGCTGAAAAGTGGCAAAAACAAAGTTAATATTTTTCAGGCAATGAGCGCAGCCATCTTTGACTTTGTTTATTTGCGTTTTATAGTGAATGGCATTCTGGGATTAGGGAGTTTTTGCCATGTCAAACATCAACAAACATGGCTGCCGTCATAAAGAATTTAGCTGCTGTTAGCTTAGCTGACACGCATTTATTTTCTAAACAACATTACATTAGTCTCTTGTTGCTCACCAGAGATGTGGTACATTGTAAACTAGTCTAGCTGTTAGGTCGCTAACTTATGTTGTGTTTTTTGTCAGCGCAACCTGTTATTTAGACTGGTTTATTTTACATTTACATTTTAGTCATTTAGCAGACGCTCTTATCCACTACTTACAGTTAGTGAGTGCATACATTATTGTATTTTTTAATTTTTTCATACTGTTTATGGAATGAGTTTGGCTGTGGATGAGTTCCGTGTGATGCTTGGATGATGAAGTTCGCATTTATCTTTTACAATAAAAGGTAAAATTGAGGACTTTATTTTCCATCAGTACAGAAAATATTTTGATGCTGTTCAGACAACAGTGCTGTTTAGACGCGTTTGTTGCGTCATACGTTCTGTTGCTACTGTTCCAATCACATATTTGAGATCGTACGCTGCAGGGAACCACTCAACAATGATCACAAATACGTGATCATACGCGTCAAAGGGTTAAATCTGTTTGTGTTTCTCTGATTGGTGGGTGCTACCATTTTCCTGGTACTGATGGGGGGAGGGGCCAGAATAAGACACACACCCTTAAACCATTGTGTCATGTTAGACCTTCATTTATAGAACTCAGACTTGATGAATGCTGCATTGTCTTGTTGCTCTGATTCCCGGCTGGTTTATTTACAAACAAACATTTCCATCAAGGACAAGCTATGCAAGCAGTGTTGCATTCGGTGTTGAAGACAAGTACCATGACATGGGAAAAGCCTTGGACCACCCTGGCTTAGTCTAGATCCAATGATTTTGTTCTGGTCTCTGTCTGTGAAGACTGGGCAGTTCCTCCCTCTCTGCCTCTCTTCTCCTCCCCTGAGAAGTGTCTTTGTGTGTGTGTGAGTGGGAAGAGCTGTGATGGCGTGCTCTCTCTCTCTCTCTCTCTCTCTCTCTCTCTCTCTCTCTCTCTCTCTCTCTCTCTCTCTCTCTCAATTCAATTCAATTCAATTCAAGGGGCTTTATTGACATGGGAAACATATGTTTACATTGCCAAAGAAAGTGAAATGGATAAACAAAAGTTAAATAAACAATAGAAAGTGAACAGTAAATACTACACTCACACAAGTTCCAAAATAATAGAGACATTTCAAATGTCATATTATGTCTATATACAGTCTCTCTCTCTCTCTCTCTCTCTCTCTCTCTCTCTCTCTCTCTCTCTCTCTCTCTCTCTCTCTCTGTCACTCTCTTTCATCCCTCCCTCTCTCTCTGTCTCTCTCTTTCTCTATTGCCCCATTCTCTCCATCTCTGAGTTGTGCCCAGTCAGAGGGTGCTGGTGGGGTGGCCCTGCCACTACATTCCTCTGGTGACCCATGGTGGGCGAGGAGGAGGGGCAACAGGGGCATGACATAGAGATACAATATAGTGTTGTTAGTGTGTGTGTTTTCTCTTCAATTCTTTGGAGCTGGGTCACTGGATCACAATCTGACCTCATTCTGAGGCCTTTACGTGTGTGGCTGTTCCACACAAACTCTGACACAGTGACACCAGAGCTGGCATTTACTGTTGCTAGGTCTACCCTTCTCTCTAGGGTCTGTCCCAAAGAATGTAGAATATACACTATTTACAGTGCTGTATGTTGACAACATTTGAATACAGTATTGAATAAAACTACTTGTGTAAGGTGACCTGAGGCTAACACTAAGGACTGGTCGTAAGGGCAGATAACGAAAAGTCTGTGTTGTTTGTGCAGTTTCAGAACACTTAGTTCCCTCAGCAGTTCATACTTTCCCCAGACTTTCACACGCAGACATACTTATTCAAAAAATAATCTAGTTTGGTTTTCTCCCCTTATTAGTACCACTCATGTAATAGACCTATTTATCATTTCAACAGTCTTTAATTCCATTTAAAAAGTCTCACTATTTTAGATAAGCGTCAGATTTTTTCCTCTCACTGGTGCTAAACACTATATTAAAGTCACAATTTAGTCTTCGGTTTTTCTCAAGCACCATGTCAGAGCGCTGTCGTGTAGTTGATGCGTGTCCAGAGAAGACGTTGTCCTCCTGGCTTAACTTCCTGTTGAGCCCTGAGGGACTGAGTCAATCTGAGACCCATGGAGGGAGGGAGGGGGGAGGGGAAACTCAAACCTAACTCCTGCTCCTCCTCTCTCTACCCGACCACACCCCTCTGAGACTGGCCAGTGCAACCCCCCATTCCCACCACCCCAAGCTGCTAGAGCTCTGCTGTGTTGCTCTGTACTGTCTGGATGTGCTGTATATGCCACAGAATTAAACAGAACACATACAATGGGGTCCGAAATGATTGACACCTTTGACAAAGATGAGCAATAATGACTGTATAAAATAAATAATTCAAGTACTGAGCTATATTGTATGCATATTTCTTTCTCTCAAAAATGCAGGGGTCAAAATGATTGACACCGCTAAAGATTCTTATAAATAAAGTAGTCAGAAGTTTAGTATTTGTTCCCATATTCCTAGCACGCAATGATCTTTGACCCCTCTGTAACTTTTTCACTCATCCTTATTCACGATTCATTCAGGATTATCCATAATCATGGTAGGATCCACATTAATGTAGAAGTGTTTAGAAACATATTCTATTCATATTTACAATAAAAGTTACCCCAGTATGACACAATACATTATTTACCATTAATTTCTATTGGGCACAAAATAATCTGAAACACAACCAAAATGAACTCCAAATACATCCAACAAGTTTGTAGAGTCGCAAGCTTGATGTAGTCATTGCATGGTAGGAATATGGGACCAAATACTAAACTTTTGACGACTTTATTTAATAGAATCTTTAGGGGTGTCATTTTGACCCCTACCTTTTTGAGAAAAAAAAGTATTACTTGTTATGGTATATGCTTCAGTGACAGTGAGTTGGTGGAGTGTCCTCCAGAGGGGATTTGACTGTATACTGTACACTCTAGTCAGAAAGAAGGAGTGAAGTGGAGAGGGAGAAGAGAAAGAGAGGGGAAGGTGAGAGGAGGGAGAGAGAGACAGGGAAAAAAAGAGAAAGAATGAGAGATCCTAGGTATTCACTACGGAGTTAGGCCTTGGAACAGAGCTGAAGAAGAGATATAATCCTTAATGGAACCCAGCTGTTGAAGTAGTGGTGAACTAGAGAGAGAAGGGCCCTATTTATTTAAGCACTCCTTTTGTAAGTGTTAGATGTGTATACTTACTGCGTAATATATTCTCTCCTATGTTTAATTAACATGGGACATTTAACTAAAACTCTTTGAAGGACTGGGACATTTAAATAGATGGAAAACGGAAATAGCTGAGAACTGAAAATCATCTGGAGCACAGAGAGAGGATGGTGGAAGAGGGAGAGAGAGCGGGGGAGGGGGGATGAGAGAGAGAGAGGGAGAGCAAGACAGAGAGAGGGGGAGAAAAAAGGGAGAGAGAGACAAAGAGAGAGAGAGAAGAGAGAGAGAGAGAGAGAGAGAAGAAGAAGGGGAAGGGAGGGGACGGGAGGGGGGTATTTGGTTAGTTTGTAGAGTGAGGGGGAGGGGGGATGAGTAGAGAGGGATGGCAGAACGAGATGGTGGAGAAAAAGGTGGAGAGAGAGAAACAAGATTGATGAAGGATGAGAGAGAGCAGAGAGAGAGAGAGAAGGGAGGGGAGGGGGGTGTGTTGTATTGGGGTAGTAGATGGTGAGGGGGGAGAGAATGAGGGAGGGAGAGCAAAAACACCCCAGTCCAAGTTCCAAGCTGACTTCATTTGGTAATAAAATCCAGCATTGGGCTCCAGATTCAGATCCTGTCCAATGACGTCTTTTGGGCTGAAATCTAACTGTGAAAAAATGACTTAGGAGCAGCTGTGAGTTTGACAGACGAGAAATGGAGGGCTGCAGCGGTTCTGTCGACCCCCTGCCCATTCCCCTCCTCCACCTCTGGAATTCTCTCTCTCTCTCTCTCTCTCTCTCTCTCTCTCTCTCTCTCTCTCTCTCTCTCTCTCTCTCAGTCCATGCTGTGTTCGTGACTTGATTATGCTCTTGGTATTTCTAGTTCTGTGTGTTAGTAGTGCTATAGGAAGAAGAATAGCTGCTCTGTGCTTCACAGGGATTGGTGTGCATTTTCCTCTCACACTGTATTCCACACCAGTGAGCTTTAATCCACTTTACTGATGACTGGTCAAAGGAACCATGACTCCCACACATCTTTGATCTTGTTATGGAAGACTATTAGGCTAGGTATGGAACTCACAAGCCACAAAGACATCTATAGTTTGGTCTTGCTTAATCGCTTATAAAATCCTGATTAAAAAAAAGTTTAGAGCACCTGTGATGGACTAAAAAGTATTCTAATTTTCAATATGTAGCACACAGTGTTGCTGCCCATATCTCTGCATACTAGCAGTTCTCTTGACCAGTGATGGTGATAGCAGACCTGCTATTCAGGGGGACAGTCCAGTACAGAGAGTACACATGTACACTACCACATCAGAATAAACCCCTATACTGGACCCATATGGAGAGTATAGCAGATGAGGCAGCCAGCCCTTACAAAAAAAAACACATTAATAAATCACAATGTTGAAAGAACACGTGTAAACAAATCACAGACATACTGTATGTGTTTTCCCAATATTGTGCTTTTGGTAAAACATCTCCAATTTGCAAGTCTCTTCTTATTATTGGTGTCCTTTAGTAGTGATTTCTTTGCAGCAATTCGACCATGAAGGCCTAATTCACACAGTCTCCTCTGAACAGTTGGTGTTGAGATGTGTCTGTTACTTGAACTCTGTGAAGCACTTATTTGGGCTGCAATTTCTGAGGCTGGTAACTCTAATGAACTTATCCTCTGCAGCAGAGGTAACTCTGGGTCTTCCATTCCTGTGGCAGTCCTCATGAGAGCCAGTTTCATCATAGCACTTGATGGTTTTTGCGACTGCACTTGAAGAAACTTTCAAAGTTCTTTAAATGTTCCGTATTGACTGACCTTCATGTCTTAAAATAATGATGTACTGTCGTTTCTCTTTGCTTATTTGAGCTGTTGTTGCCATAATATGGACATGGTCTTTTACCAAGTAGGGCTATCTTCTGTATCTTCACAACACAACTCAATCAATCAATCAATCAAATTTTATTTATAAAGCCCTGATTGGCTCAAACGCATTAAGAAGTAAAGAAATTCCACAAATTAACTTTTACCTGTTAATTTAAATGCATTCCAGGTGACTACCTCATGAAGCTGGTTGAGAGAATGCCAAGAGTGTGCAAAGCTGTCATGAAGGCAACGGGTGGCTGTTTGAAGAATCTCAAATATAAAATATATTTTGATTTGTTTAACACTTTTTTGGTTACTAGATGATTCCATGTGTTATTTCATAGTTTTGATGTCTTCACTATTATGCTACTATGTAGAAAATAGTAAAAATAAATGAATAGGTGTTCTAAAACTTTTGACCAATAGTGTACATATTTACAAAACAATATATGGGGGATTGGAAATGATGCAGACAATTACATTAATAGAAGCCACAATCTATCTGCAACATTAAAGCTGATCCACCCCCTAATAAAAAATACTACTAAAACAAATTCTGGTAACTCTGACAGCGCAAATTTTAACATGTTAAAAAGGATAAATAAGGAGACGCGGCGCACTAGCTTCTCTGTTCTTTCACTGGGCTTCTTCAAACTGTCACTGACCAACTTATGAAGAAGAGAGGCGGGTACCAGCAGCAGTGACACTCCGAATGGATGGCTCAGAAATAAGAAATCATTTTTAACACACTCAAATTATTATACTCAGGTAGGATAAGTTACCTTTTTACAGAATGGCATTACAGAATTTGCAATTCCATATGTGGAAACATTTCTACTGCAACATGTTACCTTTTCACATTTGAGTAGAATAACACTTTTTTGTGAACTTGTAATTCCGAATGTGAAAGTGAGATTTTCTTACATGTGAAACTGCATATCCAATTTTCACATGTGAACGTTTTTAACATGTGAAACCGCAAATTTCACATGTGCTACTGCAATTCACATGAGGTGAAAATCTCACATGTGAAAAGGTGGTGTTAACATGTGAAGTTTAGTACATGTGAAAATATGTTTACACGTTAAATTTAAGCTCAACATGTGAAAACAGCTACTTCACATGTGAAAATGCAAATTTGACATGTGTTTTTTTTGTAAGGGAGGCTACAGCCTGGGGAAGCCATTCCTTATCCGTCTTCCCATTCTCTGTTTTCTTTCCCTGTCATTAAAACTGTTTGGTCAGAGAGGGCTCTGGGTGCTTTAACATTCTCATTCCCTGGACCCTGCCATAAACACTGCTATTTCCCTCTTTCTCTCTCCCTCGTTAGTGCTCCCTCTCTCTGGGTGCTTTAACAAGCAGTAGAGGGAGGAGCAACAGAGAGTCTTTACAGATATGGGCTAGTTTTATTTATTTGTTTAAGGTCGAGCCTTTGCCCCAGTGTCAGTTGTTGCAGTAACAGTTGGTGGTTAGAAATGTTTGCTGAAAAGTTGAATGCCTTGGCATGCCAGCATACCCCCCTCTCACTCTCTTTCCCCTATTTTTCTCCCTCCCATTCGCCATCTCTTTTTCCCCTCTCTTTCTCACCCTTTCCCCACATTTTCTCGCTTCACTATATCCCTTTCCCCTCATTCTCCCAACTCTCTCTCTCTGTCTCTCTCTCTCTCTTTCTCTCTGTCTCACATGTGTAGGCAGGCATACATAATCTCAAACAGCCTATCTGTGTAGCCCTCAGTGTCTCCCTCCCGCCCCTTATATGCTAATTTGACCTACAAATTCTGTCAAAGTATGCCAAATGAATGAGAACACTGTTGAACTCAAGCCAATGTTCTTCCTCCTATCTCTCTCTGTCGTCGTTCTCTCTTCCTGTTTTTCTGCCCCCTCCCTCAACACCTCCCCCAGCTTCACTGTCTGTCTCTCTTACCTGGCGCTGACGAAGATGGCGGCGTTGCGACTAGCTCTTAGGAAACTTTGCAGTATTTTGTTTTTTTATGTATTTTGTTTTTAACATTATTAGCTCAGAAAGTGTTTTGCATCATTACATACAGCCGGGAAAAACTATTGGATATCAGAGCGGCGGTAACTCACCAGCATTACGACCAGGAATACGACTTTCCCGAAGCAGATGCTTTGTTTGCTCTCCCCAGGGCAAGTGAGCTGATTCCAGCGGCTGACCCAAAACATCGCCGGCGGAGGAGAGGCACTTGGAGCGCCCTGCTGGTCCGACATAGGATGCGCGCACACCACCCACCGCTTCCAAGTATCCTACTCGCTAATGTTCAATCTTTGGTTAACAAAGTCGACGAACTACGGGCAAGGATTTCTTTCCAGAGAGACATCAAGGCCTGTAACATACTCTGTTTCATGGAAACATGGCTCTCTTGGGATATTCTGTCGAAATCGGTCCAGCCAGATGGGTTCTCAGTTCATCGCGCAGACAGGAACAGAAGGGCGGAGGTGTGTGTTTCATGATTAACGACTCATGGTGTAATTGTAGTAACATATAGGAACTCAAGTCCTTCTGTTCACCCGACCTAGAATATCTCACAATCAATTATCTCCCAAGATAATTTTCTTCCGTTATAGTCACGGCCGTGTATATCCCCCCTCAAGCCGATACAACGACGGCCCTCAAAGAACTTCACTGGACCTTATGCAAACTGGAAACCACATATCCTGAGGCTGCATTTATTGTAGCCAGGGATTTCAACAAAGCAAATTTGAGGACTAGGCTGCCGAAGTTCTATCAACATATCGACTATTGTACTCACGCTGCTAAAATCCTCGACAATTGCTATTCAAACTTCCGGGACGGTTATAAGGCCCTCCCCCGCCCTCCTTTCGGCAAATCTGACCATGACTCCATTTTGCTTCTCCCTTCCTATAGGCAGAAACTCAAACAGGAAGTACCCGTGCTAAGGACTATTCAACTCTGGTCTGACCAATCGGAATCCACACTTTTAGATAGTTTTGATCACGCGGACTGGGATATGTTCCGAGTAGCTTTCAAAAATAATTTAGACATATACACTGAAGCGGTGACGGAGTTTATCAGGAAGTGTATAGGTGATGTTGTGCTCACTGTGACTATTAAAACCTACCCTAACCAGAAACGCAAGGTGACTGGGAATATGGCAGAATACAAACAGTGTAGCTACTCACTCCGCAAGGCAATTAAACTGGCAGTTCAATTCAACGGCTCAGACACAAGACGTATGTGGCAGGGTCTACAGACAATCACGGACTACAAAAAGAAAACCAGCCACGTCGCCGACACCGACGCGTCGCTTCCAGACAAGCTAAACACCTTCTTTGCCCGCTTTGAGGATAACACAGTGCCACTGACGAGGCCCACTACCAAGGACTGTGGCCTCTCCTTCTCCATGGCCGATGTGATTAAGACATTTAAGCATGTTAACCCCCGCAAGGCTGCCGGCCCAGACGGTATCCCTAGCCGCGTCCTCAGAGCATGCGCAGACCAGCTGGCTGGTGTGTTCATGGACATATTCAATCTCTCCCTTTCCCAGTCCTCTCACTCAACATCAACAAAACAAAGGAGATGATCGTGGACTTCAGGAAACAGCAGAGGGTACACCTCCCTATCCACATCGACGGGACCGCAGTGGAGAAGGTGGAAAGCTTCAAGTTCCTTGGCGTACACATCACCGACAAACCGAAATGGTCCACCCACGCAGACAGTGTGGTGAAGAAGGCCCAACAGAGCCTCTTCAACCTCAGGAGGCTGAAGAAATGTGGCTTATCACCTAAAACCCTCACAAACTTTTACAGAAGCACAATTGAGTGCATCCTGTCTGGCTGTATCACCGCCTGGTACGGCAACTGCACCGCCCACAACCGCAGGGCTCTCCAGAGGGTAGTGCGGTCTGCCGAATGCATTACCGGGGGCAAACTACCCACCCTCCAAGACACATACAGCACCCGATGTCACAGGAAGGCCAAAAAGATCATCAAGGACATCAACCACCCGAGCCACTGCCTGTTCACCCCGCTATCATCCAGAAGGCGAGGTCAGTACAGGTGCATCAAAGCTGGGACCGAGAGAATGAAAAACAGCTTCTATCTCAAGGCCATCAGACTGTTAAATAGCCATCACTAGCACATTAGAGGCTGCTGCTGCCTATTGAAATCACTGGCCACTTTAAGAAATTGAACACTAGTCACTTTAATAATGTTTACATATCTTGCACTACTCATCTCATATGTATATACTGCATTATATTCTATAATATTATTCTGTATCTTAGTCCATGCCGCTCTGTCATTGCTTGTCCATATACAGTGGGGAGAACAAGTATTTGATACACTGCAGATTTTGCAGGTTTTCCAACTTACAAAGCATGTAGAGGTCTGTAATTTTTATCATAGGTACACTTCAACTGTGAGAGACGGAATCTAAAACAAAAATTCAGAAAATCACATTGTATAATTTTTTAGTAATTAATTAGCATTTTATTGCATGACATAAGTATTTGATACATCAGAAAAGCAGAACTTTAATATTTGGTACAGAAGCCTTTGTTTGCAATTACAGAGATCATACGTTTCCTGTAGGTCTTGACCAGGTTTGCACACACTGCAACAGGGATTTTGGCCCACTCCTCCATACAGACCTTCTCCAGATCCTTCAGGTTTCGGGGCTGTCGCTGGGCAATACGGACTTTCAGCTCCCTCCAAAGATTTTCTATTGGGTTCAGGTCTGGAGACTGGCTAGGCCACTCCAGGACCTTGAGATGCTTCTTACGGAGCCACTCCTTACTTGCCCTGGCTGTGTGTTTCGGGTCGTTGTCATGCTGGAAGACCAAGCCACCACCTATCTTCAATGCTCTTACTGAGGGAAGGAGGTTGTTGGCCAAGATCTCGCGATACATGGCCCCATCCATCCTCCCCTCAATACGGTGCAGTTGTCCTGTCCCCTTTGCAGAAAAGCATCCCCAAAGAATGATGTTTCCACCTCCATGCTTCACGGTTGGGATGGTGTTCTTGGGGTTGTACTCATCCTTCTTCTTCCTCCAAACACGGCGAGTGGAGTTTAGACCAAAAAGCTCTATTTTTGTCTCATCAGATCACATGACCTTCTCCCATTCCTCCTCTGGATCATCCAGATGGTCATTGGCAAACTTCAGACGGGCCTGGACATGCGCTGGCTTGAGCAGGGGGACCTTGCGTGCGCTGCAGGATTTTAATCCATGACGGTGTAGTGTGTTACTAATGGTTTTCTTTGAGACTGTGGTCCCAGCTCTCTTCAGGTCATTGACCAGGTCCTGCCGTGTTGTTCTGGGCTGATTCCTCACCTTCCTCATGATCATTGATGCCCCACGAGGTGAGATCTTGCATGGAGCCCCAGACCGAGGGTGATTGACCGTCATCTTGAACTTCTTCCATTTTCTAATAATTGCTCCAACAGTTGTTGCCTTCTCACCAAGCTGCTTGCCTATTGTTCTGTAGCCCATCCCAGCCTTGTGTAGGTCTACAATTTTATCCCTGATGTCCTTACACAGCTCTCTGGTCTTGGCCATTGTGGAGAGGTTGGAGTCTGTTTGATTGAGTGTGTGGACAGGTGTCTTTTATACAGGTAACGAGTTCAAACAGGTGCAGTTAATACAAGTAATGAGTGGAGAATAGGAGGGCTTCTTAAAGAAAAACTAACAGGTCTGTGAGAGCCGGAATTCTTACTGGTTGGTAGGTGATCAAATACTTTTGTCATGCAATAAAATGCAAATTAATTACTTAAAAATCATACAATGTGATTTTCTGGATTTTTGTTTTAGATTCCGTCTCTCACAGTTGAAGTGTACCTATGATAAAAATTACAGACCTCTACATGCTTTGTAAGTAGGAAAACCTGCAAAATCGGCAGTGTATCAAATACTTGTTCTCCCCACTGTATATTCTTAAATCCCATTCCTTACTTTTTTGTGTGTGTTGGGTAAATGTTGTGAAATTGTTAGATATTTCTTCACTGTCAGAGCTAGAAGCACAAGCATTTCGCTACACCCGCTATAACATCTGCTAAACACGTGTATGTGACAAATACAATTTGATTTGATTTGATTTACCCCTTTTTCTCTCACTCATATCTCAGAAAGTTAGGATACATGTTAGCCGACTAAACTCAGCTCCACGATTTACGATGGAGTTGAGTTGTGTGGCAACTAGTGTGGGCGGACTGGAGCTCCGATGTCACCTGAAATGAAGTTTTTATCAAAAACTACAACTTTCAGCACCCAAAGAATAGCCCGCATTTACACATGGGTGTTGAATAATTTTTTTGTTGTTGATAAAAACTTCATTTTATGTGACATCGGCACTCCAGTCCGCCCACACTAGTAACCGCTCAACTCCATAATCGTGGAGTCGAGTTTAGTCAGCTAGATACATGAATACATCTCCAATGACATGTATGTATTCCTCAGGCTAAACAATAGCTAAACATTTGTCTAATACTGTATCTGCTCAGGGTCCAGCTGCAGTGTTTGTGTAACCTAGCTGGAAAGTGTGGGACTGAAACGGACTGACTGACCCATGTTGTAGGTTCCAGTTCCGAAACAGCTGTCCTGTCCAGTCTTGGAGAGAGTACAGCACTGCCCGTGAGACCTGGGCCTTTATTCACAAAGAGTCTCAAAGTAGGAGTGCTGATATAGGATCAGTTTAACCGTTTAGATTAAGATTACATAGACAGGGGGTACCTGATCCTAGATCAGCACTCCTAGTCTGAGAGGCTTTGTGAATACGGCCCTGGTTCTGTTGGAGTATGGCTGCTGTGTCTGTTTCGTTACTTTTCCTGAATGCCCAACCAATGCCCACGGTTTTAGCACAAGGAACCCCCTCACTATATGAGATGTTGTGTAATGTGTGTGTAGTAGTAGGAAAGTGCAATTGTGGGTTTTTTGTCACTTCAATCCTGGAAAGTGGTGAGGCATTGACGTTTTTCGACTGTGGTTTCTTAGAAGAACACTTGCCTTGGCTGGCCTTCAACTGGCATCAAGACACGCACGCACACACACACTCACACGCACACAGACACATGCACACAGACACACAGACACACAGACACACAGACAGACAGACAGACAGATAGACAGACAGACAGACAGACAGAGGAAAAATAAGGAGTTTTCCAGTCCAGGGGCTGGTGTAGAGCAGGCCACATGAAAACAGACCCAGCCACTGGAGTCAGTCCACCACAGCTAGTGATTAGTAGACTGAGACCATTACTAAGAACCATTACAGCTGCCTGCCTCCATCTCTCTCTTTCTCTCACCCTCTACTCCCCATCTCTCTCTCTCTCCCCCTCTCGTTCTCCCTGTCTGTTTTTCCTCTCCATTGACAGGCTCCAGACATACAGGCTTACAATCTAAAAAGTATCCATGTTTCAAAATAAGCTCTTATAAAAAGCTGTTATCCAGTTCCAGATCTCTGGCGACAAATCTGCCCTTCCCTTGTTTATCAGAAGACGTCATGGTCCTGAGAGAGAGAGAGGGGGATTCTGGGTCGGCTCGCTCCACGTCTGATCTCTGCTTGGACTGACCCACTTCTCGTTGTCCCCACACACACACACTGTAAAACCATGAAACATGTGATACGTTTATAACCTAAACGTCAGTGTTTAAAACTTAAACATTAGGCATTTAGATTTGCCAATAGGTGTTCTCATTTTTAACACAGGGGTTTCGAATGCAAGATTAAACATAATAGTCCGCTTTTTCCAGTTTCCAACCAGGAGAACACCGATATCTCCTAAGTGTTCAGATTTTAAACACTAGTGTTTCATTTCCGATCGTCCTGTTTAGAGTGCATTTAGTCATTAGAAATTAGGAATGTCTGTCACCTTACCTACATTTCAGCACAACTGAACAGGACATGATAAAATATAAAAATTGTTGGATATCCTCCCTCTGGCTGGATTACGATAGGAATTACTAATCACTTCACTTACCAGAGTATTGTGACTTGCAGGTCTGCTGTGGCCCATGAGCCAGGATTTTCAGACCTCAATGTCAAGGATAACTAGGCCATAAATAAAGGCCTTATGAAATGTATAATATGCGGTCATAAAGGGTTTACTTTTAATTAACACATTAATTTAGGCAGTCAATAGAAATGATTGAATGCAACAACCATACGTCTGTCACAAACAAACACAGTCATGGGTGGGTATCTCTCACATTCACTCGAAAGGCCTGCTGGGAAATAATCAGACACGGCTTTACGCCCTGCAGTTTTAAAACACCTCCCCCAGTGTTAAGTGTTTCAAATCGAAACGCCTTGTGCTGAATAAACGTGTCCATGTGTTTAAAAAGTGTTAGAGCGAATAAACATGTTATGGGGGTTACAATCTAAACACTGTGACGCGTTTATAGTACACACACACACACACACACACACACACACACACCAACTGGACCTCCAGTCGGTCACCAGGGTCTACCCCTGCTTCCCCCTTCCTATCCCACTGTTTGGCCTGATGGTTATGACCAGTGTTTCCTTGCCAGAGTGGAATCTATATTCTGCTTTCCTCTCTTCATTGTGAAGCGGGTTTGTATTTGTTTCTGTTTTTTTCAAGAGAAGGAAAGCAAATCCCAAGCCTTTAGTCATTGTTTTCAGATGCAGTTTCCTCTGGGCTGGTTGGACACATAGCAACACCTACACGCACCCACGTTCACTCTCATGCTAACTCTCACACTCTTAACACACACACACACACACACACACAGACACACACACACACACAGACAGAGCCTTCCTGCTGATGGGAGTGAGTTTAGTTTGTCGCAGTGTGTTTTGGGCGATCATTCTGTTGGTGCTACTCTTTATGACCTGCTTGAATCTGGATCCTCAGTCAGTCAGCAGCCCCTTAATGCACTGTGTCTCTTACCTCACAGGTCTGCTTTGTTGGCCACATACCTCCCAGGGCTCTGCGGAAGGAGGTTGGATCAGTGAGATCCTATTGTGGTCTTTCAGGGAGGCCGTCCGCAGTAGGGACGGCATCCCAAATTATTGTTATATGACAATGATGAGACACAATAGAGTGTTTCAGATGAGAATATGTCAGGGCCTGTGTTATTCATATTCAATAAGAATACTTCCCTGCCTGTGGAACTCATTGTGATAATGGAGAGGTGGGTACTTGTGCATACTCATAGTCAGAATAAAAGGAGAGGAGAGTTAACAGTAGTGTAGTGACGTGGAGTTTCATACTCTTTGTGTGCTGAGACAGCAACCCACTGAGGGATTTAAGAGTTTCTGCTTTAACAAGGCTACTATTGATTCTGTCTTCTAGTGAGGATAGGGAGGAGAGTTTGAGCTATCGAGAGAGAAAGAGGGGGACAGGAGTGAGGGGGGGGGGGGGGCAAGATTGAGGTGGAGAGAGAGGGGGACAGGAGTGAGGGAGGGAGAGAGACAGAGTCCAGCGTAACGAATGCTATGGGGACAGGAGTGGCACGGCCCTTTGTTGTGTGGGTGGTGAACCCCTATTCAAGCAGCAGAGTTACAGGGGGGCATAGCTTGGTGTTCTGGATTCCACTGCACTACAGTCAGCATAACTTAAACGAAACACATTATGTACTAGTCTAGCTTCTTCAACAGAGGTTTCAGCCAAACACATCATGTACTAGTCTAGCTTCTTCAACAGAGGTTTCAGCCAAACACATCATGTACTAGTCTAGCTTCTTCAACAGAGGTTTCAGCCAAACACATCATGTACTAGTCTAGCTTCTTCAACAAGGTTTCAGCCAAACACATCATGTACTAGTCTAGCTTCTTCAACAGAGGTTTCAGCCAAACACATCATGTACTAGTCTAGCTTCTTCAACAGAGGTTTCAGCCAAACACATCATGTACTAGTCTAGCTTCTTCAACAAAGGTTTCAGCCAAACACATCATGTACTAGTCTAGCTTCTTCAACAGAGGTTTCAGCCAAACACATCATGTACTAGTCTAGCTTCTTCAACAGAGGTTTCAGCCAAACACATCATGTACTAGTCTAGCTTCTTCAACAGAGGTTTCAGCCAAACACATCATGTACTAGTCTAGCTTCTTCAACAGAGGTTTCAGCCAAACACATCATGTACTAGTCTAGCTTCTTCAACAGAGGTTTCAGCCAAACACATCATGTACTAGTCTAGCTTCTTCAACAGAGGTTTCAGCCAAACACATCATGTACTAGTCTAGCTTCTTCAACAGAGGTTTCAGCCAAACACATCATGTACTAGTCTAGCTTCTTCAACAGAGGTTTCAGCCAAACACATCATGTACTAGTCTAGCTTCTTCAACAGAGGTTTCAGCCAAACACATCATGTACTAGTCTAGCTTCTTCAACAGAGGTTTCAGCCAAACACATCATGTACTAGTCTAGCTTCTTCAACAGAGGTTTCAGCCAAACACATCATGTACTAGTCTAGCTTCTTCAACAGAGGTTTCAGCCAAACACATCATGTACTAGTCTAGCTTCTTCAACAGAGGTTTCAGCCAAACACATCATGTACTAGTCTAGCTTCTTCAACAGAGGTTTCAGCCAAACACATCATGTACTAGTCTAGCTTCTTCAACAGAGGTTTCAGCCAAACACATCATGTACTAGTCTAGCTTCTTCAACAGAGGTTTCAGCCAAACACATCATGTACTAGTCTAGCTTCTTCAACAGAGGTTTCAGCCAAACACATCATGTACTAGTCTAGCTTCTTCAACAAAGGTTTCAGCCAAACACATCATGTACTAGTCTAGCTTCTTCAACAGAGGTTTCAGCCAAACACATCATGTACTAGTCTAGCTTCTTCAACAGAGGTTTCAGCCAAACACATCATGTACTAGTCTAGCTTCTTCAACAGAGGTTTCAGCCAAACACATCATGTACTAGTCTAGCTTCTTCAACAGAGGTTTCAGCCAAACACATCATGTACTAGTCTAGCTTCTTCAACAAAGGTTTCAGCCAAACACATCATGTACTAGTCTAGCTTCTTCAACAAAGGTTTCAGCCAAACACATCATGTACTAGTCTAGCTTCTTCAACAAAGGTTTCAGCCAAACACATCATGTAGACTAACTACAACAGCACAGCATTTGTAATGGATGCTCTTTTTGCTAGCTCTGATAATTTACTTTACACAAACACACTTTGAACTTACAACAACTGCTCCCATAGCCTGGTCCCAGATCTGTTTGTGCTGTCTTGCCAGCTCCTATGGTCATCATGGTCATGATGGAGTTGGCTATACAGCACAAACAGATCTGGGACCAGGCTAGTGCTCCCACCCTCTGTGTCACGTTCGTTTACAGACGGGACGGACCAAGGCGCAGCGTGATATGCGTACATGTTTATTTTTCCGAATAAACACAATGACAAAACAACAAACGAAACGTGAAGTCCAAGGTACACAAACAAACATACCTCACACGGAACAAGATCCCACAACCCACTAGTGCCAATAGGCTGCCTAAGTATGGTCCCCAATCAGAGACAAGGAGCTACAGCTGCCTCTGATTGGGAACCACACCGGCCAACATAGATCTACACGATCTAGATCTAAACATAGAAAATGCAACATAGAACATACCACACAGAAAATACACACCCTGACTCAACAAATACGAGTCCCCAGAGTCAGGGCGTGACAGTACCCCCCCCCCCCCAAAGGTGCGGACTCCGACCGCACAACATAAACATAACAGGGTAGGGGCCGGGTGGGCCTCGGAGGCGGATCCGGCTCAGGGCGTGACGACCACTTACTCTCCGCCTCCCTGTTGCGCCCCTGGTCTGGTCTGGACCTCGGCGCGCTGCTTCCCCTCTCCTTCCTCCCATGAAGTACCAAGTCCTGTCTGGACCCTGGTGTGGGAGACCCCGAACCTGGAGAGGGGCTGACGTCTGGGTCTGGACTGGAGCCGCTGACCGGAGCTGGACCAGGCACCGGTGGAGCGGACTGCACAGACTCCGGACTGGAGCCGCTGACCGGAGCTGGACTGGGCACTGGTGGAGCGGACTGCTCTGGCTCCGGAGTGGAGCCGCTGACCGGATCTGGACTGGACCCCGGTGGAGCGGACTGCTCTGGCTCCGGAGTGGAGCAGCTGACCGGTGCCGGACCAGGCACCGGTGGAACAGGCACGGGCCGTGCCGGACTGGACACACGCACCACTGGCTTGGTGCGGGGAGCAGGAACGGGCCGGACCGGGCTGGCGACGCGCACCACTGGCCTGGTGCGGGGAGCAGGGACAGGCCGGGCCCGGCTGGCGACGCGCACCACTGGCTTGGTGCGAGGGGCAGGAACAGGCCGGGCCGGGCTGGCGACGCGCACCACTGGCTTGGTGCGAGGGTCAGGAACAGGCCGGGCCGTACTGGGAACACGCACCACTGGCTTAGTGCGGGAAGCAGGAACAGGACGGGCCGGACTGGCGACGCGCACCACTGGCTTGGTGCGAGGGGCAGGAACGGGTCGGGCCGTACTGGGAACACGCACCACTGGCTTAGTGCGGGAAGCAGGAACGGGCCGGACCGGACTGGCGACACGCACCACTTGCTTGGTGCGAGGAGCGGGACTGGGTTCCTTTATTAACCCCCGCTCCTTCTGCAGCCTAACCAGCTCCTCTCGCCGTGCCTCTACACTTTCCTTCTCCCTTATAGCCTCCTGTAGCGCCTCCCACTGACCGAATAACTCCTGCTCCCTCTGAACCAATAGCCCCCGTAATATGGTGGCCTCCTCTCCTAACCTGCAGATCCGCCCTTTAACGGCCTCCTGCTGCCTCATCGTCCACACCGTGTGCCCCCCCAAAAACATTTCTTGGGGTTGCCTCTCGGGGCTCCGTCGTCGGCACTGTTGGCGCCGTTTCTCCTCTCCTACCTGGGCATCCTCCTTCATCGCCTTCCGGTAACGGACGGCCTCCTCCTCCGTAATTCTCCCCCAACCGAGGAGGACATCTACTAATGTAACCTCCTGTTGAATTCCCGGCGTTTGCTCCTGAACACGCTGCTTGGTCCTTGTTTGGTGGGATCTTCTGTCACGTTCGTTTACAGACGGGACGGACCAAGGCGCAGCGTGATATGCGTACATGTTTATTTTTCCAAATAAACACAATGACAAAACAACAAACGAAACGTGAAGGCCAAGGTACACAAAACAAACATACAACCCACTAGTGCCAATAGGCTGCCTAAGTATGGTCCCCAATCAGAGACAACGAGCTACAGCTGCCTCTGATTGGGAACCACACCGGCCAACATAGATCTACACGATCTAGAAAACTAAACATAGAAAATGCAACATAGAACATACCACACAGAAAATACACACCCTGACTCAACAAATACGAGTCCCCAGAGTCAGGGCGTGACACTCTGTGCACTAATCAAACCACTAGGTCAGCGGTTCCCAAACATTTCTGTTCTGGGGACTACCAAATCACGAGTCGAGGATTTCTTTAAACATAAAATACCTTGGTGGTCACATTTAGTCCATTTTAGCAGTGAACTATTATTATTATAAACATTTTGCATTGTCAAAAGCTTATAATACCATTTACACTCCCCACTGTTATTATAAAATAATAAAAAATAAAATCATTATAAAAAAATAACATTTGTGGACCACCTGCAGTACCCGGTAGGTTGAAACCCACTGCAATAGGTTTTGTTCTGCATTCCTTTGTAGGATAACGAGGTGTTGTATTAAAACAACAGCCTACCCAGTACCCTCTCTCTCTCTCTCCTGCTGGGGAGGCAACCTATGGTGACGTTGATAGACGGTTACTGCCATAAGGATTTGCCTGTTAACACGTAGATGTACACATGTCTTTGCTGAGATACTGTGTGCTGTAGTTATTTGACTGTTTCTGTGTTTGCATGTGGGAAATAGCTATTAGATAAGACACAAGACTACTGGTAGTAATCCCGGAACCAAACCTAAAATCTCACGTGTGCTGGCCTGCTACTAGCTGTTTGTTAGGAGATACAGGCTACATACTGTAGTGATACTGTTAAATTTTTTCTGAGATACTTTGTGTGTGTATTGTGTTTGTGTGGTTGTTTCTGTGTTGGCATGTGGTCAATGGTAGTTAGATAAGACATAAAACTATTGGTACCCCCTGTGCTGTTCTCCATGTGCACTGACTGACTACACCTCTCTAGTCAATATTGACCCTCTATATTGACGGAAAAAAACGTTGACCTTGTTGAAACTTACCGTTTGGTTATTATGTGAGTCTTATTGGGTCTGTGTAATGTATAGCTCCAGTAATCTATAGCTCCAGTTCTGTTGGTCATTAGGTTGGCTGAGAGCTTCTAGGTACGTGGTAGAACAGTGTTGGATCCTTTGTGATCGTTTGTGCTGGGGGAGCACTGTGGGATCATTCCTCTCCTCACGGTGTCTCAATGTTCCCAAGTCTCTCAGTGGGTCTGGGCCCCCTCACTGATCCCCTGTGTTATGGTTATGGAGGAGAATGTGCTGTATCTGGGGTCTGGCTCTGGATCAACTTCCTGCTGCTGCTGGTGTGTTTACGTGGGCCTTGGCCTCCTGGCTGGGCTGCTGGGGGTCATGCATGTCCTCAGGCCGGTGGATACTGCTCCAACCCTCTCTCTCTGATCTCTCCCTGTCCGAGGGGAAAATGGAAAACAAGGCTCCCAGACTATCTATAGGTATGGGACCTCCTCAGGAGCACTTCACTCTTAGCTCCACGCTCCTTAGGGAGGTTTATTTTCCTGCTCGGCGACTCGATTTCAACTCCCCCGCCTTTCCGCCCTGTCACCCAGCCTCCCGGCCCTCCTCCTAGCTCTACAAGGGTGTTTACTCTGAGTATTAGCTGACCTCCTGACTCCGTTCTCCATTCCACCTCGCTGGCTCTGCTCCTTACCCAAACACCTCTGCAGGAAGCAACAACCCAGGCCACTGGCTGGGTGCCGCAGTATTATGTCTGGCTGGACCTAATCTGGATGTAGCTATAGAATCACTCCATGACACAATGTATCACACCAAGGACGCTAACTGCTCTCGCCCATACCTTTACACATAGAATTTAAGAAACACTGCTGGTCGTTGTCTTGTTGTCACGCGACACTATGTCGTCGTTTCTTTATACTAGTTGTGTGTTTGTGTGCTCTCCTGTAGGTATTCCAGGACCTGGGAGTGTCAGTGCTGGCCGGGGCGTCAGAGGGCTACAACGTCTGTCTGTTTGCCTACGGGCAGACTGGCACTGGCAAGACCTACACCATGATGGGCACACAGGTGAGGAAGGGTTATAACGATCATATGGTAACACTTGACTTTATGCAGGTGTAATACATTATGATGTGTTCTAAGGAAAGGGTTACCTATCATATAATCTGGAAAATCCCTATTGGCATTCTCTGCTCTGCTGTATGTGTTGAAAGGAGGCACAGTGTCAATAGAGTTAATGACTCTTCTCTTTCCCTCATTCGTTTCCTCCTGCATCCTCCTCTCAGGACTCCATGGGCCTGACCCCCAGGATTTGTCAGGTAAGGAAGTGGTCCCCTAATTCATTCTATCGGGTCTCGGTGAGGTAGTATTCTGGTTATTGACCTGTTCTACCTGTCTGGTCTCTCCAGGACCTGTATAGTTGTCGTAACATTGCCTCCTATGCACGCTGAAGAAGGGCTCATACCCCAAATCTTCGTGTGGCAATAAAAATGTTCATTTAAGTTATTCACAGGAGTGCTGTACTATTTTTGTTCTGTGGATTATATAGGACGATTCAGCACCCGATCGAGTGCATTATTTATTTTCTCTCCAGGGCCTGTTCAGATCTGATGACACCTTCCCTGAAGGACAAAACTCCAGCAGGATTGAAATCAGGTAAGAGGGGGCTGTGTGTTTGCCTGTTTCTCCTTGAGTGATTGTCTCAAATCAATTCAAATCAAATTGTATTGGTCACATACACATGGTTAGCAGATGTTATTGCGAGTGTAGCGAAATGCTTGACTGACTCCAACTATCAGAGTGCACATTGGTATCTAGGTGTCGTATCAATTCCTTATGAAAGTGCATTTCCTTTTCTTCCACCTGCAGCTTTCTGGAGATCTACAATGAGCGTGTTCGTGACCTGCTGCGAGGCAGAGAGCAGAAGAAGAAAGCCTCTCTACGGGTTAGGGAGCACCCTGAGAAGGGACCCTACGTACAAGGTGAGGGGGCAGAATAAGTGTCTACTAAGAAGTGTCTACTACATTAAGCAGCAGTGGATGGGGTAGATGCGTTATGAGTGGCCCTGCCTTAGGCTCTCAGATGGAAGATACAAGACCCCTTTAGCCCAAATTTACACCAATCCAATGTGTGGGGAGGAATGCATATGTGCAGGATAGGACTCACTCACTCACCAACTCAGTGGATATGTTGTGTAGCTGTGGTGAGCAGTAATACGATAAAGGTTTGTATGCTTATTTTAGAGGTCAGTCTAAGTGGGATGTTGTGGTCCTCTTAGTCTTGTAGTCTGTGTTCAGGACTCAACTTTGATTACAAACAGAGTTGCAATCCTGGCTTGAACCCAGGCTCTGCACTTTGCACTCTCTTTTTCTCTCCCTCTCTCGTTCTCTCTTTCTCTTTCTTACTTTCTCTCTCTCTCTCTCTCTCTCTCTCTCTCTCTCTCTCTCTCTCTCTCTCTCTCTCTCTCTCTCTCTCTCTCTCTCTCTCTCTCTCTCTCTCTCTCTCTCTCTCTCTCCCCCTCTTCCCTCTATTCCTTCAAGCCCAACATCCACTCATTGTCTGTATCAGGAGATATCCCAGAGTATCACAGGAAGTGATGTCACTTCCTGGTGGCAGCAAGAAGCACATTGCTCTACTCTACACACAGACCACATTATACTGTCTGGTTCTCCAGAGCCCCTCTCTCTTTCTCTATCTTATTCCCCCAACCCCTTACCACCGTTAAGTCTCTTGGTCTAAGAAGCGTGCAAAAATGTTTTCCTTACCACTGACTTAGGAAAAGGATAATGTTATGTATTATAATACATAATACATAATTATTATTATTATGTCATCATTTGGGAAGTTAAAAGTTATTGGAGGGTTTTTGTGGCTGTGTGAGACACCAAACGTGATTCAGCTGAACCACACTGTTGTAGCTTAGTTCCTCATCACTTCCTAATCACACATCACCACTAACTCAGACAAGGTTGTTCAATTAAACATGATTATTCTTCTTCTGTTTGATATGAATCAGCGTATGTTTAGGTGGTATTGATGATAACTGCTTTCTGTCTGTCTGTCTGTCTGTCTGTCTGTCTGTCTGTCTGTCTGTCTGTCTGTCTGTCTGTCTGTCTGTCTGTCTGTCTGTCTGTCTGTCCTCTCCTCAGACCTGTCCCAGCACGTAGTGTCTGACTACAAGCAGGCGGTGGACCTGTTGGAGGAGGGCATCGCCAACCGCATCACTGCGGCAACACACATCCACGATGCCAGCAGCAGATCCCATGCCATCTTCACCATCCAGTACACCCAGGTGAGGTCACAACCCTGTGTCAATCCAATCCCAGCACTCAGATTCACTCACCCAGGTCACGACCCTTCCAATCCACCAATCACAGTAGTTCTAACAGTCTGTTCATTCGTCCCATACAGGCTATTCTGGAGAATAACCTTCCCTCAGAGATCGTCAGCAAGATCAACCTGGTGGACCTGGCTGGCAGGTGAGTTTGTTGAAGAGGTTTGCGTTGCTTATTCCCAGATGCCTAATCATTCCAGATACAGAATGCCTCAGAATCCATGAGCAAGCTGCCTCCTAGTGGATCTCTTCTGCCATGACTGTGTGTTCACTGACCCAGCAGTTTCATTTTATCACACCATAGCTTTTCACTAGGTACCATTTCCTGTGTTGCGTTTCTCTCTAGAATATGTCATATTCAGTGTGTTGTTGTGTTCTGCCTGACAGTGAGAGAGCAGACCCCCACTACTGCAGAGACAGACTCACTGAGGGATCCAACATCAACAAATCCCTGGTGACCCTGGGTATCGTCATCTCTGCTCTGGGTAAATGTTAAAAGGGACTTTTATTGTGAAGTACTGACTTTTTATCTGTGTTTTCCATCTCCTTGTCAGAATCCACGTAGCTTACAGTACACAGAACATACTATACATACATACACAACTTGAATTCATACAGGGTGATATTTGTAGATAATGTGCTCTACATACAGCAGTATGCCTCACGTAACTGACCCAGTACCCCCCTTATAGTCTGTATTGTAAGACTAGCCAAGTGAGACTACCCTATTTCTAACCCAATCCTTCCCCCTGTCCCTGTATCTCTCCCCGTCCTTGTCTCTTGTCCTTCCCTCTCATTGTGCCGGCCCCTGTCTCGTGTCTCTGTCCCTATCTCGTGTCTCTGTCCCTATCTCTTGTCTCTGTCCCTATCTCGTGTCTCTGTCCCTATCTCTTGTCTCTGTCCCTATCTCTTGTCTCTGTCCCTATCTCGTGTCTCTGTCCCTATCTCTTGTCTCTGTCCCTATCTCTTGTCTCTGTCCCTATCTCTTGTCTCTGTCCCTATCTCTTGTCTCTGTCTCTGTCTCTTTCCCATTCTCTTTCCCTGTCTCTGTAACCTAACTCTCCCCTTGTCTCCCCTTTGTATGTCTCTCTCCAACAAACATTAAACTTGAACTGTGTCCGTCCCTCTCCAGCCCAGAACTCCCAGATGTCCAGTAGTTGTCAGAGTATCAATAGCGTGGCCAGTGAGGGTGATGCGGGCAGCACTATGGGCAGCCACACCAGCTCTCTGTCTGGGGGAGGTGGTGGAGGAGGAGGAGGAGGAGGGAGAAGACACTGCTTCATCCCCTACAGGGACTCTGTCCTCACATGGCTCCTCAAAGACAGCCTGGGAGGAAACTCCAAGACCATCATGATCGCCAGTGAGTAGGGAATATTGGCATTGCATTGCATTACACATTTGTGTAAATTAGTGGGAGTGGAAGTAGTGATCACATTTTTTTTGCTCTCTTAGCATTGTAAGATGGACATAATTGTTTGTCTTTCTTCAGTGCTGTAGTATAGATCGTTGTTGTTGAATTAGTTGCAGTTAGTGGTTGTAATGACAGTATTGTAGCGTTATTATCCCAATAGTAAATCTGACCCCCTGCCTGTGTCTTGCAGCCGTGTCCCCGTCCTGCAGAAGCTACAACGAGACTCTCAGCACCCTGCGCTATGCTGCTCACGCCAGGAACATCGTCAACAAGCCACACGTCAACGAGGTGAGTGTTCCGCGCATTCTGTTGTATATTGTTACGACCTTAGTCCAACACCTAGTGAACCTTGTCAAGAGGTTATGACCTCTTGGCGTAATGATTAAGGTGTCGGACTTACAGTCGTAGGGACCTGGGTTCGAGTACCGGTTGGGGCTACAATATTAGTTGTATCATTTGCCTTGAGTGTTGTGTTGTGCTAGTCTCTCAGTATCATAAAGTATAATGTCTTGTCTCTCTACAGGATGCCAGTGTGAGGTTAATCAGAGAGCTACGTGAGGAGATAGACAGGCTGAAGAGTATGCTGCTCAGCTTCGAGATGGTACTGGTTCCCCTGGATTGCGGTTTTCACTAGGAATTATAATCAACTGCACCAGCAGTGTTATTGGGAATGGGAAGAAAACAACGATTTGATGTTATTTAGATTATAGGTTATTACTGCCTTTGTCTTAATTGTCTTGCAACATTGACCAAAATGTCTGTGGTGATTCCTTCACAGCAGCGGAATCCCAGCCCTTCTCTGAGTGATGAGAGAGACGGCAGTCTGTCTGACATGGTGTTACAGAACGAGCTAAAGGTAGAGAGGATCATTTATTAGACACTCACTAGAACTGTGTACTGTCACTTTTAATAGTAAATATTACCACATCTTGTCCTTTTATACACTCTATGCTCCTGACTCCGGTGCTCATCTGACAAGGACTGGTCCAGAGGCTTCGGCCTTAACAGTACAGTGTGGAATCAACAGAGAACGGACTGGTTCCGCCACTCCGTCCACACCTTATACACGGACGGACGTTCAGCACCGGGGTCACAGTATCACCTCAGGGTATATATCAACAGAGACCGGGCTGGGTTCCTCATCCACGCCCTGTTCCCACACCTTGATTACACGGGACCGGGACGTACTCAGCACCGGGGGTTCACCTTCTATCCACCTCAAGGTGTATATATATATAATACACCCCCTTAGGATAACTAACACACCACAATCCTCATTCCACGCCCTTTACCACCACCCTTATTACACTGGACCGGGACGTACTCAGCACCGGAGTCACCTATCAGCTCAGGGTATGAGCATGCATATGCATGGATGCTGGCACACACACACACACACACACACACACACACACACACAACATATACACGGAACTCACATTCTACATGTACCTCTACACTACACTACCTCTGTTCTTCTTTTGCTTCTTTCTCTGACTGAAATGTTTCTTTTTTTTGTCTACTAGATTCTCCCTCCCTGTTCTTCCTTCTCTCTCTCTGTACTGCTTGATGTTAAGACGAGGTGCGTTTTCACTCTGACCCCCCCCCCCCCCCCCCCCCCCCCCAGAATGGCTTTAGGTCCGATGATTATACCACTTCCTGTATTTGAAACCACCTTGGAATCTGAAACCACCTTGGAATCCATACTGCTCCTGTAGTGGGACTATAGTTACATAAGCTAGACTTTTATCCCACAAGATGGCATTTGGTAAACAAATACTTGTTTTCCTGACAGCTAGCCTAAGTGTAGGGCTCTGAGTTCTGTGAGAGTCACGCTTAGTGTAGTAGAACATCATGTGATAGTAATTTGATCTGTTATGAAATGTTTGTTTTAGGCACACCCAACTGTGCGTTTGTTGACATATTTTTTTCAATCCACTGTTGAAATACTCTGTCATCCTGAACTCTTGACTACCCTCTGTTGTAGGAGGGGGTAACCAGGATTGGACCTCAGGACAAACTGGTAGAACCACAAATAGGTAGGCTGATGTCATATTGATATCTCCTATGTTCTCTGTTTATTATCTGTCATATTGATATCTCCTATGTGAGTATTAGATAGATCTTGTGCATGCAGTACATGTATTTTGGGGAAACATTTGCAACTTCAAATGTGTTCGATTTTGGAGTTCCTTATTGTATGTCTTTCCCCTCCAGTCCTCCAGGGCGGCGCCACCTGTGAGATAGAAAACCAGTCTGGGGTGGTCACCCTGAGGCCGCTGACAGGGAGTGTTTGCATGGTCAACGACAGGGAGGTGACGGAGCCCTGCAGACTGGCACAAGGTAGGCCCTCACCTAGTTCTCACACACTCTCTTTTGAATCCCTTGTCAAAGAGTTTCTGTCTTGTTACAAATCCGTTTACAGGGACAATAGTGCCAGAGTAAGCTATGAAGCTAGGAGCATGTAGAGTAGCACTTGGAGGCCCAACAACTATGTACAATTTTTGGTGTATATCTCTCTGTCTTCAGGGTCAGTGGTCACTATTGGAGGTGTTCACAAGTTCCGATTCAACCACCCGGCAGAGGCTGCAGTCCTAAGGGAACGCAGACGGGTGGGTACTGCTGAACAGAAATATGATGATGATAATAATGATAGTGATGGTGGTGGTGATGATACCTAACGACATCCTCTTCTTGACAGGCCAGTGAGGGTGCACTGAACTGCAGCTACAGTGACCTTCGATCCTTAACCTCTGACCCCAGGTAAACACACACACACACTCAGTGTAAACTAACCACCACCCACTGACAAACACAGGCCAGGAGCATCTCTGAATACCACTCACTACACATGTGCTGAAAGGATTCTGCTGAGCTCTCATAGTAGACTCACGGCATACATATTTATATGTAGTCTATGTAGTACAACCTACCACTGGTACAGGTGCAAGGGATAAATGGCTAGTAATGCTTCATGCATGTTTCTGTGTACAGAACGATAGAGAGAGAGTGCCTACAGCATACATAGACATAGACTGACCAGCTGAATCCAGGTGAAAGCTATGATCCCTTATTGATGTCACTTGTTAAATCCTTTTCAATCAGTGTACATGAAGGGGAGGAGACTGGTTAAATAAGGATTTGTAAGCCTTGAGACAATTGAGACATGGATTGTGTATGTGTGCCATTCAGAGGGTGACTGGGCAAGACAAAAGATTTAAGTGCCTTTGAACGTGGTATGGTAGTAGGTGCCAGGCGCACCGGTTTGTGTCAAGAACTGCAACGCTGCTGGGTTTTTCACGCTCAACAGTTTCCTGTGTGTATCAAGAATGGTCCACTTAACACAACTGTGGGAAGCATTGAAGTCAACATGGGCCAGCATGGGGAAGGTGTTCTTAATGTTTTGTACACTCAGAGGAATCATAGCTTGTTGTTTACAGGCAAGCCAAGGCTGGGCCGTTGCCTGGTTACAAGAGAGACGCTGCATTAAACTCTAACAACAGTAGCTCTCATTAAAACTCTGCCTAGGCAAGGAGCCAGACGTCTCAGCATTTTAGGGATTTCTGTCCATAACCAAATCTTTACTGCGTTGAGGTACCTCTTATTTGTATTTATGTCTCTATGTGAACAGGGTTGGAGGAGAGGTGGTCCCGGGACAGACAGGGTACTGTGTGGCTGAAGGAGAGGATCCAGCCAGGAAGCAGCGGTGTGTAGAGGACCAGGTGAAGGACGTGGAGGAGCAGAGGGGGTACGTGGAGTGTCTACGCCAGGAGATCCAGACTGAACAGAGACGGGCTGAGAGAGATCTGGAGAGCGAACAGGCCCTTCTGAGACAACAACACATTGACAGTGAGTAGCACACCTTCAGCAAGTCATACAATACTCAGTACAATACATAACGTACAGGACACATTGAGAGAATAGCTTGAATATTTATTTTATGTGTCTCTCAGTAGAGACATGTTTTGAGAAATTAGAGATGTAAAGAGAAATAGATCAACGTTTTGCATTTTATCACAGAACATTATACACTCCCCTACGTATTTATTTGGACAGTGAAGCTAGAACTTTTAATTTGGCTCTCTACTCAAGCATGTTGGATGTTGGAGGTAGCATAGCGTTAAGAGTGTTGGGCCAGTAACCGAAATGTTGCTGGTTCGAATTCCCGAGCCGGCAAGGTGGAAAAATCTGCAGCTCTGCCCTTGAGCAAGGCAGTTAACCCCCAACAACAACTGTTCCCCGGGCACCGATGACGTGGATTAAGGCAGCTCGCGCACCTCTCTGATTCAGAGGGGTTGGGTTAAATGCACAAAACACATTTCGGTTGAATGCATTCAGTTGTGCAACTGACTAGGTATCCCCTTTCCCAAATGTTTCATATTTGAAGATGAAATGTTTTAATTTCATAACACATCTACCTTAATGTGGATTCTACCATGATTACGGATAATCATGAATGAATTGTGAATAATGATGAATGAGAAAGTTAGAGGCTTTTAAATATCATACCCCCAAAAAATGCTGTTATTCGTAATGGTGAGATGTTAGCATGTCTTGGGGGTAGGATATTTATGCCTCTAACTTTCTCACTCATCATTATTCATGATTCATTCATGATTATCCATAATCATGGTAGCATCCACATTAATGTAGAAGTGTTCAGAAACATATTCTATTCTTATTTACAATAAAGGTGACTCCAAAATGACACAATAGATTATTTACCATTAATTTTTATTGGGCACAACATAATGTGAAACACAACAAAAACAAACTGCAAATGCATCCAACATCTTTGTAGAGCCACAAGCTTGATGTAGTCATTGTGTTAGGAATATTAGGACCAAATACTAAACTTTTGACGACTTTAATACACATACCTATGTAAGTGAATTTGTCCAAATACTAATGACACCTTCAAATGGGGGTAATAGATACATAAAGTGCTTTCATTTCTAAACGGTAAAACAGATATGTATGAAAATAACCTTAAATAAAAGGTGACATTTTGTACTGTAGCCTCATATGAAACATTTTATCTAAAAAATGCTGAAGTATAGAGCTAAATTAAAGGTTTTAGCTTCACTGTCCAAATAAATACGTAAGGGAGTGTATCTGAAAAATATGTTGTTAAAGTTTGTACAGTGCATTGCAAAAGTATTCATCCCCCTTGGCGTTTTTCCTATTTTGTTGCATTACAACCTGTAATTTAAATGGATTTTTATTTGGATTTCATGTAATGGACATACACAAAATAGTCCAAATTGGTGAAGTGGAATGAAAAAAATAACTTGTTTCAAAAAATTCTAAAAAATAAATAATGGAAAAGTGGTGCGTGCATATGTATTCATCCCCTTTAGTATAAAGCCCCTAAATAAGATCTGGTGCAACCAATTACCTTCAGAAGTCACATAATTAGTTAAATAAAGTCCACCTATGTGCAATCTAAGTGTCACATGATCTGTCACATGATCTCAGTATATATACACCTGTTCTAAGCAAGGGGCACCACCAAGCAAGCGGCACCATGAAGACCAAGGAGCTCTCCAAACAGGTCAGGGACAAAGTTGTGGAGAAGTACAGATCAGGGTTGGGTTATAAAAAAATATCAGAAACTTTGAACATCCCATAGAGCATCATTAAATCCATTATTAAAAAATGGAAAGAATATGGCACCACAACAAACCTGCCAAGAGAGGGCCGCCCACCAAAACCTACGGACCAGGTAAGGAGGGCATTAATCAGAGAGGCAACAAAGAGACCAAAGATAACCCTGAAGGAGCTGCAAAGCTCCACAGCGGAGATTGGAGTATCCGTCCATAGGACCACTTTAAGCCGTACACTCCACAGAGCTGGGCTTTACTGAAGAATGGCCAGAAAAAAGCCATTGCTTAAAGAAAAAAATAAGCACACACGTTTGGTGTTCGCCAAAAGGCATGTGGGAGACTCCCCAAACATATGGAAGAAAGTACTCTGGTCAAATGAGACTAAAATTGAGCTTTTTGGCCATCAAGGAAAACTCTATGTCTGGCGCAAACCCAACACCTCTCATCACCCCGAGTAACACCATCCTCACAGTGAAGCATGGTGGTGGCAGCATCATGCTGTAGGGATATTTTTCATCAGCAGGGACTGGGAAACTGGTCAGAATGGAAGGAATGATGGATGGCGCTAAATACAGGGAAATTCTTGAGGGAAACCTGTTTCAGTCTTCCAGAGATTTGAGACTAGGACGGAGGTTCACCTTCGAGCAGGACTATGACCCTAAGCATACTGCTAAAGCAACACTTGAGTGGTTTAAGGGGAAACATTTAAATGTCTTGTAATGGCCTAGTCAAAGCCCAGACCTCAATCCAATTGAGAATCTGTGGTATGACTTAAAGATTGCTGTACACCAGTGGAACCCATCCAACTTGAAGGAGCTGGAGCAGTTTTGCCTTGAAGAATGGGCAAAAATCCCAGTGGCTTATAGAGACATACCCCAAGAGACTTACAGCTGTAATTGCTGCAAAAGGTGGCTCTACAAAGTATTGACTTTGGAGGGGTGAATAGTTATGCACGCTCAAGTTTTCTGTTTTTTTGTATTTTTTCTTGTTTGTTTCACAATAAAAAATATTTTGCATCTTCAAAGTGGTAGGCATGTTGTGTAAATCTCCTTCTCCTGAGTGGCGCAGTGGTCTAAGGCACTGCATCGCAGTGCTAACTGTGCTACTAGAGATCTGGTTCGAATCCAGGCTCTGTCGCAGCCGGCCGCGACCGGAGACTCATGGGCGGCGCCAATGGCCCAGGTCGTCCAGGGTAGGGGAGGGAATAGGCGGCAGGGATGTAGCTCAGTTGATAGAGCATGGCGTTTGCAACGCCAGGGTGTGGGTTCGTTTCCATGGGGGGCCAGTATAAAAAATAAAAAAAAAATGTATTCACTAACTGTAAGTCGCTCTGGATAAGAGCGTCTGCTAAATGACTAAAATGTAAATGTAAATGTAAATCAAATGATACAATCCCCCAAAAATCCATTTTAATTCCAGGTTGTAAGGCAACAAAATAGGAAAAATGCCTAGGGGGGTGAATACTTTCGCAAGCCACTGTATGTGCAGATAGTGCACATTTAAGTCATGCATGTATTTTGTTTCCTGTCTACAGTCCAGCAGTGGATCCTGCAGGAGAAGCAGCGTCTGGCAGCTATAACGTTAAAGGAAAGAGGAACTCAGGAGTTTGGTGTACAGACTGATCCTATACCAGCTCCCATCCTAGACAGCCTGCTAACGGAAGGTTCGGAAGGTTCTGAGGAATGCTGTGGTCAAACAGTGGCCCCTCCCTCTAAAGTTGTTCTAAACAGGAAGAAGGTTGTTCAGGAGGAGCTGTTACGTCATCACGCCTTGTGGCGCGCAGAGAGCCGAGTTCGACGCAAAAGACTTCACTACCAGCTGGAGAGGATCGCTCGCAAGCGCCATCTACTAGAGGCTAAGAGGGAACTGCAGTGGCTGGAGAAGGCCCTGCCACCAGGTCTAGAGAGCCCTGCTTCCCCTGAACTAGGGTCCTCCTCAAGTTCCAGAGGACATCACCCTGTCTTGCGCAGGCATTCTTTCTCATCAGACCTTCTGTCCCGATTGTACCCCCAACACACCCCAATCTTCAGGTCCGTATGAAGTATCTCACAAATATATATATTCAAGCCAATATTTGACTAGTATAAAGGAATTACACAGGCATGGTGTAAAGGATAATGTATTTCTTTATCCCTGTTTTGTTTTCCCCAACAGCCACTTCCTGAAGAGAAACAGACCGTCTGAACTGACATTTGGATCCATCAACTCAAGACAGTGGGTGTCTGATGAATGTCTTCCATGCGAAAGGACGAGGAGTCGCTCCAACACATTCTCCTCGGGAACAGGAACCAGTAGTCAGGAGCAGGGGTGGAGGAGCAGAGCCAGTTCCTCTGAGAACCTTAAGCCGCCTGTGAAGGACGAGGAGGAGGCTCTAGCTCAGCCACCATGTCGTGAAAGACCAGAGAGGAAACCACTGCTTCCAAAACGTGGGCTTGAATTTAAATTCAAGAACAATCAGAACCCATCACAATCACAAAATGGTGGGACTTTACAGTCAAGCAGTAATGTCATCGTGAAGGATCAACAGTTACAGTATACAAATCCAGCAGTCAGACTCAGAGAGCTCCATGTAAGGCAGTGAAGAGCCTTCCCCGTGGAGGAAGCAAGGGCTTGGAGACCATCCGGAAGGTCTTATCACACTCAGTCGGCCCTGGAATAAAGACAGCGTTGGCTAGGGTGTTTAGAAAGCCACCATCAGGACTGAGTAGAGGGACCAAGCCCACTGGTAAAACAGCAAGCCGATTTCACTGGATACAAAACCGAGGTGTAGAAGAAGCCAAGATGAGCAGGAAGAAATGCACGATGAAAACAACTGTCTCATGTGAGGATCTTGATCAGAAGACTCCTTCACATGATTGTAGGCAGAGACAAAGACGGTGGCACAGTGCAGAGACTCTGATAAACCAGACTACCATCCTAAGGTGGGTAGAGAGACCGCAGGGACTGGCAGGATGGGAGGAGTATGACAGTGAGGAGGAAAAGGAGGGTGACCACTCCTCAGACTGTGACAGCTTGTTCTCAATGGACTCCCTGTCCTCGGCCTATGCCACAGCTTTGGCAGAGCAGCTGAAGCAGGAGGAGGCTATCCAGAGCGAAGCAGAGAGCGAAGACAGTCAAATGTCAAAGGACTCACTGGCTATGGAGAGCAGAAGGAAACATGTTGCATCTAGGCCGGCACAGAGATTGACTGGGGTAGTACCCAGTCACTCAGTGGTGAGGGGTTTTCTCAATCCCTCGATTGGAAAGACTGTGATCATGGCCTCAGAGATTCAGCCAACTGGAGAGGGAATAGAAGACATTGGAAAACCGAATGAAATGCCAGCAGAGGCTTACTGGAGCCATCATGGTGGTCCTAAAACAGGAGTTAATGGAGCAACCGGAGCGACAAGAGAATCACGGTACCAGAAGCAGTCAGCAAAAGAACCCCGGTGTAGAGACACTGTATCAAAGTTGAGTGAAGAGCTTGGGCACGTCCACACTATGTTGACCAGCAGTCCTCGCTCTCTGAGTAGCTGTAGTGTGAGGGAGCCAGAGAGTTTGCTAGCGCTTACAGACGCCTGGTCCTCCACTGATGCAGCAGATAGTCCTAGGATACCCAGGGACTCTGCCGTGTTGAGGAGGAGGACGGTGTTTAGTCATGGTGCGTTGGACAGCAGCAGTTGTCCCAGCCCCATCAGTGCGGATCTGTCCGACTGTCTGAGTGTATTTGGATCCACTGGATCCCATAGCTCCGCATCTACTGACGGCACAGAGGGAGAACATGTCACAGTAGAGGAACAAAGACTTGGGGTTTCAGAGGGGACAACTGATACTTTGAATTTCCATAATTCTCAACTCCTCCAAACGTTAGCACCACGTGTAATGATACCATTGATTCAGGAGTCAGTGTGTTGCGAATACTATTTTGAAAGGCAGTCAGTCAGTACAGAAGGTTTGCTGAAGGTAGCTATTGATGATCCAGGCTTTCGCAACAATCAAAGTAGTGCTGTCTCATCAGAGCTTCCTTCGCACAGATCCACATGTGCTCCAACCATTGACCATAAGACTCAATGCATCCCATCAACATTGGAGGCTGCAATGTTCCATGGGCATCAGATGCAGCAGGTCACATTACCTAAAACTGAAGGTAACATGTTGAATGAGACATCGGACATCGAAAGTGCCCCAAAGAATCCTTCTGGAGATAATGAACTATTCAATGTAGATGGAGACATGGAAGAAGTCAGAGATGAGGAGTTTTGTGAAGCTAGCAATACCAAAGACATATCAATTCAAAGTGAGTTTAAATTGCTGCAAAAGCTTGGAGCCAAAGTCACAGAGCAGAATTGTGTGTCACCAGAGCAGGAGTCTTTCAAAGTGTCTTGTACAAATTCCAGAAAGAGGAACAAAGGCCTGCAGGACAGTTTCATTGGCAGCTTGAAAATTCCAAAGAGGAGCAATGGAGGGAACTTTTTTACATTCTCCACTGTCAAGAACAGCCAGGAAGTTATTTGGCCAGATGACAACAATAACACTAGTGAATTAAAAGACAAACAAACTTCCTTTGCAGACCAAACTAAATCTGGGCTGCAATGAAGGTAACTTCAAACGAGATACCTCAGCTTTAGTAGCAATGTCAGTGTCTGTGCACATATCCCAAGAAAATCTCTCCCCATGTGACCATAAAACCATTGACACAGATAGCCAGAAAGGGACTCCTTTGGGAGAGAATGCAGTTATTGTAAAGATAAGAGAAGTAAATCAAGGTGAAGAAATAGAAGTTCAAAGGCAGGGTGAAAAGCTGATCTCAGATAGCAAGAGAAGATACGTAGAAAATGGTAGATGGGGACCTCACCATGGGGACAATAACTGTAGTCCAATAGACCAGCGAATCTCAGAGGTGGTAAAGGAGCATATGAGGATGTCAGTTATAGATGGGGATGAAGAAAACAGTAACAGTGAACTGGAGAGTCAAAATAGTCAAAGCCTTAATGCCTTGCCAACAAGTAATCCTAACAAATGTGATTCACGAAAGGATGTACAAGCAGTTAATAATCATCTAGTAAATGTCCCACTGAGGAGCATTAAGCCTGTCTCTTGTTCAACATCAGAAAAGTCTCTTATCTGTTTTGAGAAGCTAAAGATGGACAACATGACAGACATAGAAAATCTAAACCATGGAAAAGTTCTTAGACACTCTACTTCCCTCATATTAATTTCCATGAATCAACCAAGTTTCATGACCAAAGAGAATGATTCAGACAGTACGACAAAGATCCCCTCAGAGTCCGAGTTAAGTCAGACCATTCAAAAGAAAGTAAGAGAAGTGCAACTGAAACATGGAATAACTGATGTTGACAAGGGTCAGCATGCTTCTGGCTGTTCTGTCATAACACCAAATGATCAAGCAAGTGTCAATTCTGGTGCCGCATTGTTCACTGTAAAAAGCCATGAGATCAAATTAAGTCTGGCATTGAACAACCAAGGGCAACCTGAATACATCAACAATCCTGTACTGCTACCAATGGGACATTCTTCAGGGTCTACTTTCACTTCCACCGTACCCAAAGAATGCTTAGTTTCTCAAGGGAAAAGGTTTGAAAGAGATGTCCCTTTTCCGCATATGGGGAACATAAAGAAACAAACAGGTCCTGAGAAGTATCATCCTCATCTTACCTGTCTTGGTGATAATGATAAACAAACTGTCAACCAGGCTGGTTCACCTCAGCAAACCCTGAAACCTAGTGCTCTACAACCTCTCCAGAACTGCCCAGGAACAATGTCCTCAGTGACTACGCCACCGAATAAGGCCTTTGCACATGCAAGGGACATCATAATGGATTCAGAGGTTCAAGGCAAAAACAAGAACCACTGCAAATTGATCTCCTCAACAGGTGCAGGTGGACAACTTTACCTAAAGGATCGTCATCGGCATGCAGCTGCATATTCACTCTCTAACAAAGGCAGACTTCAACGTACACCAGAAAACATTGAAAAGCACCACAACAGTCAGATACTCTCAAATAATCCACAGTCTGTCGATGCTATAAAAACGGTGACTGTCAGTCTTCATCATGACAATTTATGTGAATCACAGAAGCTAGAGGAGAAAGACAGAAATCACACTGAGGTCAGAAAAGAGTTCCAAAGAGACACTCCTTATGCCACAAATCTCAGTCAGGAACTACCACAGTCAAAGTGCTCATCTGAAACTCAGGTAGACACATTTCATAACACTTGTGTAACCGTCAGTCCTGATCCTAAAAATAAACATCCCAGTGTAAAACACAACAAATGCCATGTTGAAAAATGGCTGAAGGCTCAGTGCAATGTGAGAAACTTTGCCTCGGACAATACCAAAGATTGCCAAATGGCTAAAAATGAAGAGGGGTCAATGACTGATAAACCACTGACAAAGTCTCCTGTAACCTTGTTTGACGTACCAAGTGAAATGAATAGTATTGGATCTTCTACATCCCAAAGAACACAGGGAAGTAGTGATGCTAATATGAAGATATTGCGTGACATTTGCGGAGATATCATGTCCAGAAAGGGAAATACCAAAACATCTAATTGCAGTCAACCCCATCAGTTCAGTGGTAGTAGTGTTGTTCATTGCAAAAAGGGAAAGTCCAAGAGGTTCAGAAGGTCCAAAGTCCAGGCACCTCCTAGCTCCTCCTCTGACTCCAAACTCAAGTCTTCCTCAGACGAAGAACAGAAAATCACTCACAGGTTGCATCGAAGCAGGTCTTCATCAACAAGAATGAAGTCTGAATCTCCAACTAATGGGAAACTAGAGGTCAGTCAATGCAATGGTGCAGCAATTCCTCCAGTGAAAAGACAATCACCACAGTCAAAAGACAATCACACCATGGAGGCTTGTACTGTCCGGACCACGGGTGAATATGATGAAAAAGCTGGAGTTGGCATCAATTTGGGTCAGAAAGAACACAGCCTCAATGGGCAATCAGTACATGCTCTTGCAATGGAGAAAAGGACCAATCGGGAGAAAATAATGTCTTCCAGTATCAAAGAAACTGAGATGTCACACTACACACCAAGGCCTCAGGATTCGCCAATGCATTTTGCCTCCAGCGACGTCAATCCCTTTGTTCACCAATGGCAAGAAGAAGAGCCAAACCAAAGGTGCTACAAGAACCAGGTGTTTGGAAGTGCTGCTGACATATCTTGCAAATCACCCATGCTGGATTCCACTGACAAACGCATCACTAGATGCTGCAGTGTCGACAACGGTTTAAACTTACAGAACTGTCCTTTCAACTCCCACCTGAGCACTTACGCCAACAACAAGGGACTATCCAGCACCCTGAGCAGCATGGAGGAAGATTTAAAAGATCAAACGTCCCCCAAAGCCCATCTGAAAGGACATACTAACCAAGCCTCTAGTATTGACGATCACAATCAACCACTGATCCGGACCATGAGTTGTAACTCTTCTTCTTGCAACGATGTATCTGGAGATCCTGGTAACAGCTCTGGCCAGGTGGATGAGATCATGTTGGTCTACTCCTCAGAGCGGGAGTCTCAATGTAACGGGTTTCAGAGTCCTGAAACACACACCACATGTGACCACAGCACCCAGACAACCATGACTCAAGAAACCATGACTCAGACAACGATCAACCATAGTGATCTACAGAGGAGAAACAACCATCACAGAAGGAGCAGCACTCAGGTACCAGTGTCTCAGAAGAATACAGAGGCCAGTAGAAAGACCACCACATGGGCCAGCCTTCAAAACATGTCTGAGCATCTCTCTCAGCTGATACACAACACTTCCGATCTTCTGGGAAATGTTCAGGGTATGAGGTCTGGCGATAGCCTCAAACATAGTCCGATAAGAAATGTTAAATCTTCATCTCATCTGTACTCCTCCAAAGATTGGACCAAGAGAGACTGCTCAACCCAAACTGCAGTAGATATTGGGATCCAGACTGAAAGGACTCCGTCTACAGAGAGGTCCAAAGCTCATGAAGTTAATGTGATAGTCAAAGTGATTGGCTCAGAAGTTCTCAATGTGTCACAAGAGAAAGAGCTCCCCCTTCAACATCAACTCAAGAACAGGCCAGATGATAGGATTCAGAGCATGCCTGACCTGCGACTCAATGGCTCCACTGTTAACAAGAGATATATCTTGGAACCAGAGAGTGTCCCTCACAAAGTGCCTTCTCTGGAGACTGTTGTCCAACGTCACAGCCATTCAAAACCTGCTGTTCATTGTAGAAGCAATGAGGACTGCAAACCTGAGAGAGTGAACTTCTCCAAAAGCTTGGGAGTCTCTGAAGTCTGCAATAATTTGTCAGAAATACTCAGACCAGACAGCCATAACGTCTTGAGAAGGAGTGACCCGGGAATAGGCTGTAAAAAACAAGTGAGCTCCACAGACCGTGCATGCTCACCCATTCTCACTGTGGGTCCCAGGAGTGGTTCCAACCAGAGCAGTAGAAAGTCTTTACAGAGTCTCAAAGAACAACAGAAGTTTGAGATGCAAAATAGAAGTAAAGAACACGTTTCGGACCGAAAAGATTGCCAGTCAACACCTTGTTTAAATTTCAGCGAACACAAAACATGCATATCTTTCACAAAGAATGATAAGATATCAGGACATGACTCCCTTTATCTTTCTGGGAAGCCTTGTAATGTCTCCACCACAAAATCAACGGGATCAATATCTCTCGAGAATGTGAGTGCCCTCAGCCATTCAAAAGGGTCTGATGGACGCTCAGAAAGTCTTAGTTCGTCCATTGATAAATACATCCACAATGAAAACCAGGATTGTCAGCCACGAAGAAGAAAGGGCAATGAGCACATGGCACAAAACCAGCCAAAGTCCAAGATGGTCTCTTCCTTCTGTTCTAAGCAGTAATGGAGTCACTATACCGAACCACACCTCTCTCACCTTCAGACAGACTGGTGTGTCCAAACAGGAGGAGAAATCCATCTCTACTTTTGGAGATCAACTAAGCCACAGGAGACATTCAATAGACTACCACCACTGTAGACCATCAGAGGGTCCAGTAGATTGCTTCAGTGGTACTTATGAACATTCCCCTCTCAGTGACAACACCATCCAGGTTCAGGAGGATGACATGGTGTCATTGGCCCCAAGCGAGTGCAATACAGACGTCCTAGTGAACATCAACCCAGTCACCCACACTTCCAACTTCCAACACTCCCCACAGCAGCGAGATCGCCAGTGTCTGCCTGAGGACCTACCTGTGCACAACAAGTTCACCAACTGGTCCGGCATCAGCCAGCATCCATCTGATAGAGGACAGATCAGTAGTTCAATGAAACCAGCCATATATCTACCCACTGGTCACAAAGCACAGAGGAACCAGCCAGAGTGGTCCAGTCTGAGTCCAGAGTCCATGTTCCAGAAGGACAGGAAGACGAGGGAGATAGAGAGGCTGCGTAAGGAGCGAGAGCAGGTCATGTCTACAGTCCAACTGAACATGAACCCTCATCAGCTGACCGTGGAGCTGACTGAAGCAAAGCTACACTACGGTCTGGGAGAGACAGACATGCTATTGAAGATCCTAACATCTGGAGAAACCAAGGAGGAGGAACCATCCGCTGTCCCTACGAAACAGCAGCTCTATGACCGGTAAGGCTGGCCCTATGTATGTGATTAAGGCTGAAAAAGGCCCTATGTATGTGATTGTGTTCAAATTATGATTTAATTAGATAACTTTAAAATGGTAGTTTTTTAAATGTAAATTATTCTCTATGTTCCTCTTGTTTCAGGCACCGGAGGAGCATCAACGGTTTGAGGCAGGAGAGGGACGCTCGGCTTCAGACCTGTCGTCGGGCTCGCAGCCTCAGCCCCAGCAAACATAACTACCCCCATTCCCCTCCTCAATCCCAATCCCCGTCTCACCTCCGATCCCCTCCTCAAAAAGCCATATCCTCCTCCAGGATTTCAACCTTGCCTAGCCAACGCAGAGAGTACCTCCAACAGCTCCGCCAAGAAGAAGTGGAGGGCAGTAGGTAAGACACTACCCCAGGAGCCAGATCAAATAATATTTTTGTGCTAAATTGCTCAACAGTTTTCAATGTCAGATTATATAGTCTCTGTCGTAAAGAGGGTTATATCGGTGGATTAATTTATCAATTGATTGATTGTAAATCTGTCTTTCCCCAGGATCCCAGATCCACCCAGAGGAGAGGGTCATTATCCCTCTGAGATAGAGCAGCTGCTGCGGGACTATGGCCGTGCCCGTGAGGAGGCCAGGACAGAAATAGCGCGCGCAAGGGAACGGCTGCGTGAGAGGACAGAGCAGGAGAAGAGACGTCTCCAGCAACAGGCTCTGTCTCAGGTGGTCAAGGTTAGTCCCAGCAAGAAGTCATAGTTTCACACTCCATAGATAGTTGAAAGCCTCAAGATGTATTCAGCATATTTTCTACAATCATTCTATAACAAAATCTTTCTGTCACCTCCCTCCGAGTCCATTGACTATGGACTCGGAGGGAACATGACTCCCTGTCAAAATAAAGGTTAAATAACCCTTTAACCCTATTCTCAACCAGCTGGTAAAGCATGTTTTGACAATGGATTTAGAAGCGGATATGGAAAAAAAACTTCACTTGAACTTGATTGGTCAACTCCCCCAGCAACAATTTACATAATTTGTATCCTTTTCAGGTGCTGCAGTTCAGTGTTGTGACACTCTAACTTTGCCCACCTAGAGGGCTGTAAGTAAACTCTAAATCAGTCACCAAAGATAGGGGATAAAAGGCAGGAATTGAGCTGGTGAGGGATTAATATTGCACCATTCCTGTTAGTAGAGGCCTTGAAGAGTAGGAATATGAAAATAAATAGTTAAAATGCAGTAAAAAAAAGTACGGTGGACTAAGAATAGGGTACATTTATTTTTTATTAAAAATACTTATTTTGGTAAAAGATGTGATTGAATTGCTGACAACACACTATATTAGGCAACATAAATTGGTTAAACCACATTTCATGGGGTCAATTCATCAATATTCAGACTTAAGGTCGCCTATAAAATAATTCCTATAATAGTAATAAAAAACTGCACATTGTCATATATTATCTCAAGATGTAGTCTGAAGATGTGGGAAACATTGTGGAAGAACCTGGATCATTTGAAATTTAAGAAAAAACATTTTGAGCAACATTGCACTATACACTATCTGAAAACGCATTAATTTAAATGTAATTGAATATTCATGTTTGGATATACAAAATTACCATAATTTGTAAACATTTGACATCAGTCCTTATTTAACAATGCTTACCTACCTATAAAAGCCATTGAAGCAGACCTAAAGTATTTTTTTTTAATATTGTTGAAATGAGTGAAAATGCTATGCAAATGGTATGACCTTCTTTTGACATATCAACCGCCTGGTAGAGCTCTGTTATTTCCAAAATAAACATCAAGTTGAAAAATAAAAACTATTGGAAGTTCTTATTTGAGTTACGAGAATGGCTTACCAAGAAAAACTTCCAAAAGGACTAATTTGAGGTTAAAAGGAGTTGGAGCTCTCAACAAAAAAGGCAGAGATTGATTTCTTATTGCTCACGTTCAAATTTCACCAAGAGGATGTGATATCGTACGTAAACTAAAACAAAGAGAGGCATTCTGGCAGTACTCCTTAGACACTGTGAATCCAAAGAGGCTAAACAATGATTTTTCACTGTCCTCGTTTCTATACAAAATAGTGCGAAGGCTCACCTGAACTCTTATTTGATTTGTAAGTAATAGGAATTTAAGGTGAAATCATTTTTTCAATGTTTTTCAATGAGAGACAGTTAAAGGGATACATAAATAAATCAAATTGACTAGAAGGTGGAACTATTTTTCATGGATCCAGCTCGAAGGACCATGAAAAGAACGCCACCTTATATTCAGATACTTACACTACATGACCACAAGTATGTGGACACCTGCTCGTCGAACATCTCATTCCAAAATCATGGGCATTAATATGGAGTTGGTCCCCCCTTTGCTGCTATAAACAGCCTCCACTCTTCTGGGAAGGCTTTCCACTAGATGTTGGAACATTGCTGCAGGGACTTGCTTCCATTCAGACACAAGAGCATTAGTGAGGTCGGACACTGATGTTGGGCGATTAGGCCTTGCTCTCAGTCGGCATTCCAATTCATCCCAAAGGTCTTCGATTGGGTTGAGGTCAGGGCTCTGTGCAGGCCAGACAATTTCTTCCACACCCATCTCGACAAACCATTTCTGTATGGACCTCGCTTTGTGCACGGGGGCACTGTCATGCTGAAACAGGAAAGTGCCTTCCCCAAACTGTTGCCACAAAATTGGAAGCACAGAATCGTCTAGAATGTCATTGTATGCTGTAGCGTTGATTTACCTTCACTGACACTAAGGGGCCTAGCCCGAACCATGAAAAACAGCCCCAGACCATTATTCTTCCTCCACCAAACTTTACAGTTGGCACTATGCATTCGGGCAGGTAGCGTTCTCCTGGTATCCACCAAACTCCTGCCATCCGCCAAATGGTGAAGCGTGATTCATCACTCCAGAGAACGCGTCCACTGCTCTAGAGTCCAATTGCGACGGGCTTTACACCACTCCAGCCGGACGCTTGGCATTGCGCATGGTGATCTTAGGCTTGTGTGCGGCTGCTCGGCCATGGAAACCCATTTCATGAAGCTCCCGACAAACAGTTATTGTGCTGACGTTGCTTCCAGATGCAGTTTGGAACTCAGTAGTGAGTGTTGTAACCGAGGAGAGACAATTTTTATGCGCTACGTGCTTCCCGTTCTGTGAGCTTGTGTTACCTACCACTTCGTGGCTGAGCCGCTGTTGCTCCTAGACGTTTCCACTTCACAATAACAGCACTTACAGTTGACCGGGGCAGCTCTAGCAGGGCAGACATTTTACGAACTGACCTGTTGGAAAGGTGGCATCCTATGACGGTGCCACGTTGAAAGTCACTGAGCTCTTCATTAAGGCCATTCTACTGTCAATGTTTGTCTATGGAGATTGCATGGCGGTGTGCTCAATTTTATATACCTGTCAGCAACGGGTGTGGTTGAAATAGCCGAATCCACTAATTTGAAGGGGTGTCCACATACTTTTGTATATATTGTGTATGTTGTCCCCTGATCTGTGCTGTTTTCCTAAAACATATCCATCGCTCTTCTTCTCTGTCTACTGATTATTCATTCACGTTTAGGATGACTTGCGGTATCGGACCAGAGTCAGCAACAGTACACTGTGCACTGGGTCGAGTCTGAGCCTATCATCTGGACCAACCTCTGGCTACAACAGTGGAAACACAGCTCAGTTGAAGGACGGCAGTAGACCCTCACTGACACTGCAGGTACTGTACTAGTTTTAGAAGACGTTTTTTGTTGTTTGCTTACACCCAGGGACTGCACTTGGAAACTAGCCGGCTGGTTAAAACTGGCACATTTACAGTAATGTTGATTAATGTGCACTGTCCCTGAAAAACGAAATGTTATAAAGTTAAGTAAAGCCTAATGGCTGGTTTATAGTTAGTCTGACAACAGGACTGTAGAGAACTAGAACAATACATACAGTATACTGTATCTATGGACAGTCGGTAGACTTACTGTAAACCAAACTTAAAGTAACTGTCCAGTGAAAATCTCACTTTTTAAAAGTTCATATTCTATTAACTCAGACGAAAATATTGTTGTTGACTCATCCTATACTTGTATTTATGGCCAAAGCATAAATTGGAGAAAAAAACCTTCAAAAACCCCACCTCAAACTTGTATCTGGAACAGACCGTTTAAAAAATGCTTGCTGTTTCCTCATAGAGGATGATGTCATCCTCCTGAGGAGGATTAGCTGGCCAATCAGTCGTCTACTCGCATGAATATTTTTTATAACCGGTATACACACACATCATTCTGTTGTTGGAGTACGCCGACACCATTCCAACACAGAAAAGCTGCATTTTAACATACTTAATTTTGAATTTTTGGAAGGAAAACTATTTCACTCATATTGTAATTAATTATAGGTCATATTTCATAGAAATCTGGAAACACTGGACAGTTACTTTAAGGGTGTTAGATATTACAAAAATGTAAAATGTAAAATGTAATTACAGACTATTTACAGTGTGGTGCAATGCATCAGATGATTGGTTGTTCAATGTCTTAATGTGTTTGTATTTGGGCTGTCAAACGATTGAAATAATTATTTGAGTTAATGGAATTAGTTAATCGCGACGATTAATCGCAATTTTAGAATTTGTTCAAATTTGGCCCTAAATATATATTTCTTATACAAGAAACACAAAATAATCTGTATCAGAATGTTTTTAATGGCATTTTCACCACAAACAACACAAAAGTCACGTACAGCTGATAATGCACCCAATGTTTAAGTAGGCCTACTCTCTCTTATCAATGTTCTTGAAGTTTAACACTTGCGAGCGCTCACGCACGCACCACACACACACACACACACACACACACACACACACACACACACACACACACACACACACTCATGTACTGTTAAAGCTTCAAGCATTCTAAATAAGTATTCTCCTAATTTCTGATTGGAGGCTTGACTATAGGAAAAAAGAACTGGCTCTATGGATTTTAAACCTGTCCCAACAATGTTATGAATTCCACAGAAGACAATAACAACAGATCAGCCAGGTCTGAGTTCATGTAAAATATAATACAGCTATTAGATCTAATACTTATCCATGTTCTTCAACAAAAACTATTCACAAGCTGCTAATACTACAATTGGGATAATTTGCTTAAATCATTTGACCTGAGAACTACAACAAAAACAGTACTTAAATGGAATGGATGTCCTGTTCAGATTAAAATCATTGTGGGAAGTTAGTTGAATCAAGAGACATTCAGCCATGGCATTGTAAATATTATTTTTTGGTTAGCTAGCTAGCTAAGGTTAGCAGAACTAGCTGACCAACTTTTTATTTAGTTTGTCATTTTTTCAGACGGGGGTTACAGGTACAGGTATAACATTCATATTAATTCAGATACACTACCGGTCAAGTGAAGACATCAAAACTATGCAATAACACATATGGAGTCATGTAGTAACCAATTTATATTTGAGATTCTTCAACTGACCCAACACACCTCCAGGCTGTGTAAGGGCTATTTTACCAAGAAGGAGAGTGATGGAGTGCTGCATCAGATAACCTGGCCTCCACAATCCCCCGACCTCAACCAAATTGAAATGGTTTGGGATGAGTCGGACCGCAGAGTGAAGGAAAAGCAGCCAACAAGTGTTCAGCATATGTGGGAACTCCTTCAAGACTGTTGGAAAAGCATTCCAGGTGAAGCTGGTTGAGAGAATGCCAAGAGTGTGCAAAGCTGTCATCAAGGCAAAGGGAGGCAATTTGAAGAATCTCAAATATAACATATATTTTGATTTGTTTAACACTTTTTTGGTTACTAAATGATTCCATATGTGTTATTTATTGTGGTCCTCTGTAGCTCAGCTGGTAGAGCACGGCGCTTGTAACGCCAAGGTAGTGGGTTCGATCCCCGGGACCACCCATACACAAAAAAATGTATGCACGCACGACTGTAAGTCGCTTTGGATAAAAGCGTCTGCTAAATGGCATATTATTATTATTAATAGTTTTGATGTCTTCACTATTATTCTACAATGTAGAAAATAGTAAAAAATAAAGCATAACCCTTGAATGAGTAGGTGTTCTAAAACTTTTGACCGGTAGTATATGTTCATACATTCAGTTATAATATTTGCATTTCATATTTCATACTTTATGGTACCTATGGGCTGCCACTCTAAAAAAAAAAAAAAAAAACCCACAAAAAACAATCAGAGAAATGCATACAAAGACAAAGAACAGCATCAACAGTTTTGTAATATTCTATATGCAATGGGAAAACCCCCCCAAAATGCTCCCCCTCCCCAACCCCCCCAGTCCCCATCCACCCACCAGCATCCTCCCTTCCCACCCGGATACCATGTTTCCCACCTATTCCCACCCCTTCCCACCCGTTACCTTTGACAGTCCTAGTTTGTTTTTGTCCCTATTTAAATAAACTAAAAATAAATAAAGAGCCTAATGAATTCTCTGTGTTGTTTTTGTCTGGTCCCAGGTCACTGGGCTCCCAGATGATGGGATAAATGTGTTGAAGGTCAGGTCTCGCCCTCCCATCTGTGGTTCTCAGAGTGTGAAGACCCAGCGTGCCTGGCTCTCTGCCCAAGGTAAGGATTGAGTGACTCACTACCACTACCGCCAGCCGCTGTTTTCATGCACAAGGCAGAGACAACATCTCTCCACTTCTGATGGTCTAAAGCATGTTTGGCAGCCTGGCATAAATTAATGTAGCCTCCCTTCAACAGCTTTTCTTCTTTTGGGGCATCCACATTTGCGTCTTCCTTCTGGAGTCCCCCTGAGCCTCTCTCTACTTCCTAATTTTCAACAAACAATTGCAATTGGGCGGCAGGTAGCTTAGTGGGTGAGAGCGTTGTGCCAGTAACCGAAAGGTCGCTGGTTCTAATCCCCGAGCCGACTAGGTGAAAAATCTGTCGATGTGCCCTTGAGCAAGGCACTTAACCCTAATTGCTCCTGTAAGTCGCTCTGGATAAGAGCGTCTGCTAAATGACTTAAATGTAAAAAAAATGTAAATGTAATACTTTGAATACCCATATTAACCATTAGCAGTGTTTCCTCTGAAAAATTGTTTTGCAGTGGGGAGAAAAGGTAGCTGAATCTCAGTTATGGTGACTACTCCAAAATGAATTAAAATAAAATGATGCTGACACCATCTAAAATAGAATTTCCACCTCCAGAAATGATCCGGTATGCTATTAGCAATAAGCATTATCACCTGTAGCCCAACTGATGCAGCATAGTGGCTATAAGATAAATAGGCTGAATCATAGGGTTGCCTATCTGCATTTACCCTATTGGGTTCATCATTATCTAGATCTAAATGTGATATTTTAACTACACTGAACAAAAAATATAAACGCAACATGTAAAGTGTTGGTCCCATGTTTCATGAGCTGAAATAAAAGATCCCAGAAATGTTCCATATGCGCAAAAAGCATATTTCTCTCACATTTTGTGCACAAATTTGTTTACATCCTTGTTAGTGAGCATTTCTCCTTTGCCAAGATAATCCATCAAGAATATGGTTAAACAACATGATCATTACACAGGTGCACCTTGTGCTGGGGACAATAAAAAGTCACTCTAAAATGTGCAGTTTTGTCCCACAACACAATGCCACAGATGTCTTAAGTTTGAGGGAGTTTGCAATTGGAATGCTGACTGCAGGAATGTCCACCGGAGCTGTTGCCAGATAATTGAATGTTCATTTCTCTACCATAAGCTGCCACCAGCGTCATTTTAGAGAATTTGGCAGTACATCCAACCGGCCTCACAACCGCACAACACATGTATGGCGTCGTGTGGGTGAGCGGTTTACTGATGTCAACGTTGTGAACAGAGTGTCCCATGGTGGCGGTGGGGTTATGGTATGGGCAGGCATAAGCTACGGACAACAAACACAATTGCATTTTATCGATGGCAATTTGAATGCACATTGATACCGTGACGAGATCCTGAGGCCCATTGTCGTGCCATTCATCCACCGCCGTCACCTCATGTTTCAGCATGATAATGCACAGCCCCATGTCGCAAGGATCTGTACACAATTCCTGGAAGCTGAAAATGTCCGATTTCTTCCATGGCCTGCATATTCACCAGACATGTCACCCATTGAGCATGTTTGGGATGCTCTGGATTGACGTGTATGACAGCATGTTCCAGTTCCCGCCAATATCCAGCAACTTCACACAGCCATTGAAGAGGAGTAAAACCTTCCACAGGTGACAATCAACAGTCTGATCATCTCTATGCGAAGAAGATGTGTCGCGCTGCATGAGGCAAATGGTGGTCACACCAGATACTGACTGGTTCTCTGATCCACGCCCCCACATTTTTTAAAAGGTATCTGTGACCAACGGATGCATATTTGTATTCCCAGTCATGTGACATCTATAGATTAGGGCCTAATTTAGGGACTGATTTCCTTATATGAACTGAAACTCAGTAAAATCTTTGAAATTGTTGCATGTTGCATTTATATAGCATCCTGTTGAATTTTAGGTCCCAAAAAACTTTCATAAACACAGTGAATATAATGTAGGCCTACCTGTTAGGGTAACTTTGGGTGACCCGCCCACCCCCTTGTACTTCTCACAGAAACCGCTTCATGTCGCAATTTTTTCCCCCAACACTTTCTCTGGTTGCCACTACTCTTGCTCAACAGAAAATGTAATCCGTCTCATCACTATTTTTTAAGTCACTACAATTTTATTTTTGTGATAGGTTGGTGTTTTACCCTAAGTTACCATTCAATTGACCCATTTGACATTTAGCCTCACTTTCCCCTATGCATTCATGGTGAATTGTGGAGTGGTAATGTGCCGCTGCTAAAAACTGAGGGTTTGAAATGGAGCAGTTTGGGCATATTTAGGACTTGAGAAATAAATAAAATAGGACTGGAAAGCTGGAAACCCACTCTTTTTAACAAAGGCCATTCATGTATATTTCCCTCCCTATGGCACTCGTAACTTGAATGCGCCTCGAGATGAATGTTTCTCTCGTATAGAACACACAACAACAATCCGACCAGGTAAATAAAATATTATTCTATTGGGTTGTCAGAATTTTCTATTCATTACTCGTTTTGTTTGCAGAGGAAACGTAAATGTGGACTGTTCTAGCATCTTCAAAGTGCGCCTCGGCAGATACACTGCTCAAAAAACATAAAGGGAACACTAAAATAACACATCCTAGATCTGAATGAATGAAATAATCTTATTAAATACTTTTTTCTTTACATAGTTGAATGTGCTGACAACAAAATCACACAAAAATTATCAATGGAAATCAAATGTATCAACCCATGGAGGTCTGGATTTGGAGTCACCCTCAAAATTAAAGTGGAAAACCACACTACAGGCTGATCCAACTTTGATGTAATGTCCTTAAAACAAGTCAAAATGAGGCTCAGTAGTGTGTGTGGCCTCCACATGCCTGTATGACCTCCCTACAACGCCTGGGCATGCTCCTGATGAGGTGGCGGATGGTCTCCTGAGGGATCTCCTCCCAGACCTGGACTAAAGCATCCGCCAACTCCTGGACAGTCTGTGGTGCAACGTGGCGTTGGTGGATGGAGCGAGACATGATGTCCCAGATGTGCTCAATTGGATTCAGGTCTGGGGAACGGGCGGGCCAGTCCATAGCATCAATGCCTTCCTCTTGCAGGAACTGCTGACACACTCCAGCCACATGAGGTCTAGCATTGTCTTGCATTAGGAGGAACCCAGGGCCAACCGCACCAGCATATGGTCTCACAAGGGGTCTGAGGATCTCATCTAGGTACCTAATGGCAGTCAGGCTACCTCTGGCGAGCACATGGAGGGCTGTGCGGCCCCCCAAAGAAATGCCACCCCACACCATGACTGACCCACCGCCAAACCGGTCATGCTGGAGGATGTTGCAGGCAGCAGAACATTCTCCACGGCGTCTCCAGACTCTGTCACGTCTGCCACATGTGCTCAGTGTGAACCTGCTTTCATCTGTGAAGAGCACAGGGCGCCAGTGGCGAATTTGCCAATCTTGGTGTTCTCTGGCAAATGCCAAACGTCCTGCACGGTGTTGGGCTGTAAGCACAACCCCCACCTGTGGATGTCGGGCCCTCATACCACCCTCATGGAGTCTGTTTCTGACCGTTTGAGCAGACACATGCACATTTGTGGCCTGCTGGAGGTCATTTTGCAGGGCTCTGGCAGTGCTCCTCCTGCTCCTCCTTACACAAAGGCGGAGGTAGTGGTCCTGCTGCTGGGTTGTTGCCCTCCTACGGCCTCCTCCACGTCTCCTGATGTACTGGCCTGTCTCCTGGTAGCGCCTCCATGCTCTGGACACTACGCTGACAGACACAGCAAACCTTCTTGCCACAGCTCGCCTTGATGTGCCATCCTGGATGAGCTGCACTACCTGAGCCACTTGTGTGGGTTGTAGACTCCGTCTCATGCTACCACTAGAGTGAAAGCACCGCCAGCATTCAAAGGTGACCAAAACATCAGCCAGGAAGCATAGGAACTGAGAAGTGGTCTGTGGTCACCACCTGCAAAACCAGTCCTTTATTGGGGGATGTCTTGCTAATTGCCTATAATTTCCACCTGTTGTCTATTCCATTTGCACAACAGCATGTGAAATGTATTGTCAATCAGTGTTGCTTCCTAAGTGGACAGTTTGATTTCACAGAAGTGTGATTGACATGGAGTTACATTGTGTTGTTTAAGTGTTCCCTTTATTTTTTTGAGCAGTGTATATTCTTTCATGTTCCATATTATTTTGCCGTGGCGCAGCGCCGCAGCTAAATGATTGCAGTGGAAACACTGCCATTAGTGTCTTTTCTCCTGTGTCTTGTGTAGATGTACGACTGGAGCCTGGTGTGTCAGGGTCTGACCCTCTGATGTCATTCTCACCGTCATCTCCCACAAGCCTACGCCAGTGCACAGCCTCCTTTGGCTCCGCCTCCTCCATATCTACAGCCTATCAGGACCTCACGTCCTGTCTGCTTGGCCAAGCTATGGCTGAGGTAGAACATGACACTTTTCCCTTAAAAGTAGAATCTAGTCATCCTATTTCTATGGTTTCTCCTCCTCGCCATCCACCAGTTACACAACCTTCAGCCTTTGTTGTGGATGTACTGCATGCTCTGACCAAATCAATCAGCTGAATAATTATGTAATGTAAACATTATTTATGTAAACATTGTCTAGAATAAACAGCTGTGCTGTTCTCACCTTTGCTCCAGGTGCGCTTGGCTGCTGCTGGTGACATGGGGAACCTTAGTAATGGGGAAGGCTGCTGCTGGTTGGAGGTGAGTTGCACTGTGGTTTCTCCTCTTGTCATTTTCCTAATAATTTGTAAAGACTTCTGAGAGAAAACATGGTAAACACTTCACGTAACCCATATTATAACACATGACAAAGGCTCATACACCCTTATAAGTTAAAAAGCATCAAAAAGTACACCTGCAGGCTTAAAGTAAAGTGTTACCAAAACATGTTATACTGTAGGTACACTAATATTAGATACTATGTATTAACCACCTCCCTGTCCTCTCTCTATCAGTTATCAGGGGATAGAGCGAGGTGTCCAGGCCTTCTACAAGCCCTCCTCTAGCCCGTCAGTTCACTCGTTCCTGGGGGTGGTGGAGCTAGAGAGGCCCATGGCCAGCCTGTGGAGCATGGTCCGAGACCACTCCAAGACCCACCTGTACCACAAGGCTGTCCAGTCAGCCCGGACACGGCCACTAGATGACAGCACTCAGCTGGGTGAGTCTGCTGGCTGGAGTATAGCAGGGTTGGGGTCAATTCTCTACTTGAAAATGGTGAAAGCCTTCAATGCTGCTGCCCATGCTAAAACAGGCGTCTATCCATGTCTATTCCATTTCAGTTCATACAAATTACTTCCAGGAAGTAAAGTGAAATTCAGATTCCAATTGTAATTTTCCTCATGCTTTTCCATGTGTTTCTCCTCAGTGTACCTGTTGACAGACCCGTCCAGCTGCCACCTCAAACAGCCCAGAGACTTCTGCTGCATCAGCACCCAATCACGACAGGTCAGTAGGGTCAGAGGTCAGAGGTCAAAGCCACACACTTGCTGGACCTCCAGCTGACTTCCAAGTCCTAACTGATCTTTCTTACCAAGAGTCGTTTTAAATGTTCAACTGCACAGCAAATTGGCCAGTGTTACCTAGTGTTGATTTTGATTCAGATGTTAAATTAACTCTGTAAGTTTTAAATTAACACTCATTGGTTTAAAAGAACACCAGTGTTGGTGTTAATAACCAGTGTTAAACAAAAACCATGCCCATCATTATCATATTTCCCAGCATGCTCTATTGCAGGTTGATTTTTTGAATAGTTTTTTTCAATATGTATGTTTTTGCATGTACATTGATTTATTTAATTCATCTTATGCTACTCACATATAAATAACATATATATTTTTAAATCTTATCCAGTCTGTTACTTGGACTAATTGCACCTGGTACTGAAATGGTTGGTCCAGTTTAGATGCTTAAGGTAGACTCATATCTTAGTCTTCCCAACCTGGCAGTCATTCTGAATGCAGGTTGTGGGTGAATAAAAATTCAAAATGCTGGATATCCCTGCTGGATTCCAATAGTAATTATACGTCATGAAAATGAATGAATGCAACAATCATGTCTCTGTCACTAACAAATATAATCATGAGTGGTAACTCTACAATTCACTTGAAAGGCAAGGCACTAAGCAGTGTGTTAATTTAACACTGAAAAGTGTGGACCCGTATAGACACTGGACCAGTGTTACATTGAGCACTGTCAGTGTTGATTTAACACTGGAGAATTTGCTGTGTGGAATCAGGGGGACAGAGGACATCCTCATTTCAGGGGCAATGATTGTTATTGCACTATAGCCAGGTAGTTTTTTTCATTTTTTATTGTCACATACACTAGATAGGTGCAGTGAAATGTGTTGTTTTACAGGGTTCAGCCATAGTAGTACGGTGACCGTGAAGCAAATTATGGTTAAGTGCCTTGCTCAAGGGTACATGGACAGATTTTTCACCTTGTCCTCTCGGGTATTTGAACCAACGCTCTAACCGCTAGGCTACATGTCACCCTTTTTTATTTTTTACATGGTTTATTTTTTACATAGTCAGGAAAACGTCTAACTCAGTACCCTCTCTCTCTTAGGATGACCTTTGTGTGCTGGCCATGCAGTCTGTCTTTGAGGAGTCTCTCCCTCGGCCCAGTGTGGAGGCCATCCGGGGGGAGATGTTGCCTAGCGCCTGGGTCCTTCAGCCAATCACACGCCACGGCCGAGAGGTTGTCAGGGTCATCTACCTGCTGCAGGTGAGACAGGAACAAGTTTACTATGACAATGTAAAGTGGTCTGAAAAATCTAGCAATCAAAATCTATTTATCAATCTTGTTTTACATCAACAGTTCTTAAGAGCTCTTCAGATGCAGATATGCTTCATGATTCCTTATCTAAATGCGGAGTCTCTCTTCCTCTCTCTTTTCTTTTCTTCCTCCCCTTCTCTTCGCAAATCCCTCCCTCGGTTCACTTTTTGTCCTCCTGTCTTTCAGGCCGACCTTGGCACTCCATCCTTCCCACAGAAGCTGTTGGGAACAGTGGCTAGGAGACAGGCTGCAGTCCTGGCAGAGCTCGATTCCCTTTTCTCTCTGTGAGACTGACAGCTGGCCAGGGTTGTGTTCATTAGTCACCAAATTGAAGAAAACTGACTGAAAAAGTACCTACCTGGACTTGTCCAATAAGAAATAATCATATTTTTGTTACGTTTCAAAACATTTTGCTATGGTGTGCCTTTATGAACACGCCCCAGGTTAAAGGCCACAGCAGTGAGCACTTAGACATACAGTATGTCCAGAATCTGATCTGTGACCTGTGTGTCTTTCAATTTGCACCTGACTTTATTTACTTGATTTTAACCTTATGAAGAGCACTGATGACATTCATTTTGTGATACTAAGTATCATGCAGCTTTTGTTATGTATATATATATATTTTTTACATATATATATGTCAGTACATATTTGAGTATTTTGTGTTTAAAATGGTTAATTGAAGATCTGTGTTTAATATGTATGCTTTTAGTAGTCGTAATCGTATCTTGCTAGTTTGAGTGGTGTAGACTGGGTTTCAGGGAGGATTTGAGGGGCTGGCTCCTAGATTTGACCCATCCAATACATCTTACTGTGTTACTTCAACTTCTGATCAGAGAGACCCCAGGCCCCTAAAGGTTTACAATTCCCCAAATGTTTCATAATAACACTATAATAACACTGATTTATATAAAATGCAAAATGATCATGTCTCCTATTTCCCATTCCTCTATTAAATCTATCTGTACTGTTAGCCACAGTTGTACTACTTCCATAATTACTGATTTATGACACAAAATGATCATTTGTCTCCCATTTCACAGGCTTCAGCCTCAGTACTAACCACTACAATGACCACTTAATGACATTATTCTTATCTCCTGAATCCTGTGTTAACGTCCCAAGGCACAGCACACTTTACCCACTCACTACCCTTAAAGCTAGAATCCTTAGTTGCTACATCCATTTTCAGATGTATAAATTAATGATATAAACTACCGGTCAAATGTTTTAGAACACCTACTCATTCAAGGGTTTTGCTTTATTTTTACTATTTTCTACATTGTAGAATAATAATGAAGACATCAAAACTATGAAATAACACATATGGAATCATGTAGTAACCAAAAAAGTGTTAAACAAATCAAAATATATTTTAGATTTGAGATTCTTCAAATAGCCACCCTTTGCCTTGATGACAGCTTTGCACACTCTTGGCATTCTCTCAACCAGCTTCACCTGGAATGCTTTTCCAACAGTCTTGAAGGAGTTCCCACATACAGTGGCTTGTGAAAGTATTCACCCCCTAAGCATTTTTCCTATTTTGTTGCCTTACAACCTGGAATTAAAATGGATTTGGGGGTTTGTATCATTTGATTTACACAACATGCCTACCACTTTGAAGATGCAAAATATATATTTTTGTGAAACAAAAAAGAAATAAGACAAAAAATCTGAAAACTTGAGCGTCCGTAACTATTCACCCCCCCAAAGTCAATACTTTGTAGAGCCACCTTTTGCAGCAATTACAGCTGCAAGTCTCTTGGGGTATGTGTCCATAAGCTTGGCCCATCTAGCCACTGGGATTTTTGCCCATTCTTCAAGGCAAAACTGCTCCAGCTCCTTCAAGTTGGATGGGTTCCGCTGGTGTACAGCAATCTTTAAGTCATACCACAGATTCTCAATTGGATTGAGGTCTGGGCTTTGACTAGGCCATTCCAAGACATTTACATGTTTCCCCTTAAACCACTCGAGTGTTGCTTTAGCATTATGCTTAGGGTCATTGTCCTACTGGAAGGTGAACCTCTGTCCCAGTCTCAAATCTCTGGAAGACTGAAACAGGTTTCCCTCAAGAATTTCCCTGTATTTAGCGCCATCCATCATTCCTTCAATTCTGACCAGTTTCCCAGTCCCTGCCGATGAAAAACATCCCCACAGCATGATGCTGCCACCACCATGTGGGGATGGTGTTCTCGGGGTGATGAGAGGTGTTAGGTTTGTGCCAGACATAGCGTTTTCCTTGATGGCCAAAAAGCTAAATTTTAGTCTCATCTGACCAGAGTACCTTCTTCCATATGTTTGGGGAGTCTCCCACATGCCTTTTGGCGAACACCAAACGTGTTTGTTTGTTTTTTTCTTTAAGCAATGGCTTTTTTCTGGCCACTCTTCCGTAAAGCCCAACTCTGTGGAGTGTACGGCTTAAGGTGGTCCTATGGACAGATACTGCATTCTCCGCTGTGGAGCTTTGCAGCTCCTTCAGGGTTATCTTTGGTCTCTTTGTTGCCTCTCTGATTAATGCCCTCCTTGCCTGGTCCGTGAGTTTTGGTGGGCGGCCCTCTCTTGGCAGGTTTGTTGTGGTGCCATATTCTTTCAATTTTTTTATAATGGATTTAATGGTGCTCCGTGAGATGTTCAAAGTTTCTGATATTTTTTTATAACCCAACCCTGATCTGTACTTATCCACAACTTTGTCCCTGACCTGTTTGGAGAGCTCCTTGATCTTCATGGTGCCGCTTGCTTGGTGGTGCCCCTTACTTAGTGGTGTTGCAGACTCTGGGGCCTTTCAGAACAGGTGTATATATACTGAGATCATGTGACAGATCATGTGACACTTAGATTGCACATAGGTGGACTTTATTTAACTAATTATGTGACTTCTGAAGGTAATTGGTTGCACCAGATCTTATTTAGGGGCTTCATAGCAAAGGGGGGTGAATATATATATGCAAGCACCACTTTCCATTATTTATTTTTTAGAATATTTGGAAACAAGTTATTTTTTTCATTTCACTTCACCAATTTGGACTATTTTGTGTATGTCAGTTACATGAAATTAAAATAAAAATCAATTTAAATTACAGGTTGTAATGCAACAAAATAGGAAAAATGCCAAGGGGGATGAATACTTTTGCAAGGCACTGTATGCTGAGTACTTGTTGGCTGCTTTTCCTTCACTCTGTGGTCCGACTCATCCCAAATCATCTCAACTTGGTTGAGGTCGGGGGATTGTAGAGGCCAGGTCATCTGATGCAGCACTCCACCACTCTCCTTCTTGGTAAAATAGCCCTTACACAGCCTTGAGGTGTGTTGGGTCATTGTCCTCTTGAAAAACAAAATGATAGCCTCTAAGCCCAAACCAGATGGGATGGCGTATTGCTGCAGAATGCTGTGGGAGCCATGCTGGTTAAGTGTGCCTTGAATTCTAAATAAATCACAGACAGTGTTACCAGCAAAGCACCCCACACCATAACACCTCCTCCTCCATGCTTTACGGTAGGAAATAAACATGCAGAGATAATCCGTTCACCCACACCGCATCTCACAAAGACACAGCGGTTGGAACCAAAAATCTCAAATTTGGATTCCAGACCAAAGAACCAATTTCCACCGGTCTAATGTCCATTGCTTGTGTTTCTTGGCCCAAGCAAGTCTCTTCTTATTATTGGTGTCATTTAGTAGTGGTTACTTTGCAGCAATTCAACCATGAAGGCCTGATTCACACAGTCTCCTCTGAACAGTTGATGTTGAGATGTGTCTGCTGCTTGAACTCTGTGAAGCATTTATTTGGGCTGCAATTTCTGAGGCTGGTAACTCTAATGAACTTATCCTCTGCAGCAGAGGTAACTCTGGGTCTTCCATTCCTGTGGCGGTCCTCATGAGAGCCAGTTTCATCATAGCGCTTGATGGTTTTTGCGACTGTACTTGAAGAAACGTTCAAAGTTCTTGAAATGTTCCATATTGACTGACCTTCATGTCTTAAAGTAATGATGGACTGTTGTTTCTCTTTGCTTATTTGAGCTGTTCTTGCCATAATATGGACTTGGTCTTTTACCAAATAGGGCTATTTTCTGTAAACCCCCCCTACCTTGTCACAACACAGCTGATTGGCTCAAACGCATTAAGAAGGAAAGAAATTCCACAAATTAACTTTTAAGAAATGCATTCCAGGTGACTACCTCATGAAGCTGGTTGAGAGAATGCCAAGAGTTTGCAAAGCTGTCATCAAGGCAAAGGGTGGCTATTTGAAGAATTTTAAATAAAAAATATATTTTGATTTGTTTAACACTTTTTTGGTGCTACATGATTCCATATGTGTTATTTCATAGTTTTGATGTCTTCACTATTATACTACAATGTAGAAAATAGTAAAAATAAAGAAAAACCCTTGAATGAGTAGGTGTTCTAAAACTTTTGACCGGTAGTGTATGCTAATTGATTATTGAAGAATATAACTTATAAATGCCTCATGAGCTTAGTTCAACTGTCGTACCCCATCAGAACTGAAAATATAAGCTTGTTTTACTCCAATGTTTGTAAACAAAGTAAATGTAAACAAACACTCTATAGCCCCAAAACATGGTTAAAACTAATGCTGATGGTCAGTCCTTGCATCCATAGCTCTGTCTATGAATTTTAGAGTGGGTTACATTTCTCCAGGGTGAGCGCTTTTTTATGAGGGTTAAGGATTCTAGCTTTAAGTCTAAAGGAATAAGAAAATATGCAACCACTTCTTTGGGGTAACTGTAAAGCTAACACTAAGTTACATACTGTAAACTATAGCCCCAAAACCATATAAGCTGAGTCTATAGGTCTATAGGTCCTTATCTGTTTCTTAGTCATGTTTGTATGTACTGTACTACTTTGTTTCTACTGTCTCCCAATGACAATGTTATTACCTCTGCAAATATGCAATACTGGTAATTTCACATAGAGTCATGTAGTAAACCATATGCTTGAGGATATAATGAACAATGGGTTTTGCTCTGAACGTTGATTAACAGTTAAAATACTGTAAGTGTTTTTTTATTGCTTGCACAAAGTTGAATGCAGTAGTTATTGGAAGTAGCCTGGTCCCAGATCATGTTTGCCTTGACAATGACAATATGAGTTGACAAGACAGCACAAACAGATCTGAGACCAGGCTATAATGGAAGGTGTTCGCAATGAAGATGACTTTTCAGGTGTTTGTACAGTGTTGGTGAGAGAGACGACATATTAGTTGGTCAATAATAGACCAAGCCTATTCATCTGTTAATTAGTCGATGTTTCAGGCAATTCATGCACAACTATTGAAATCCAGCCTTTAAAAAGCCATATTATGTGTTTTGTTGACTGTTCAGGACATTATTTTGCTGTAGTTGTAGTACTGCACAGTGTCACAGTAAGAAGGTCCCCGGGGAACCAAAGAAGGAACTGATATGAAAGATCTAGTTTCCCCAGGGACAGAACAATGAAGTAGCTAACTGACAACCTTTTTGTACTGAGTTTTAATT